GCGACCTCGCCCTCCAATGGGTGGGCGGTTGGTTGGCCCGGCGAGTGGATGGATGGGGCGGGCTGATGTGTGAGGTCTAGGCTAAGGTTATGGCATGACCGGGCCAAAACATTGTCAGGAAGTTTGTCTAAACAACAACTGCGGTACTTTTCGTTTTTTCTCCGTTTGCCGCATTCCCATCTGCGTCACTTTCACTGCAAACCGTTTACCAGATAACCGCAAATGTTTGCCAAAAGAGCTTCTGATAAGCCGAAGGGGTTTTCTTATCACCAGCCCCCCCTCCAAGAGGGGGCGGGTCTATGAACGACCCACAACGGAGCTTGATTGCCGGCTGGCTCTTTGGAAAATCAAAATTTATTCAATTGCCTTGGCATTTGACAGGCCTCGATCCGAAATGCAATTAGCAATTGTGGATTGTGGATTCGACCCGTTCGTCCAGTGTTTCTCTGCACAAAAAGAAAATCTTAGTCACTTTGGATTTCTACAAATCTTGAGTCTGTAATAAATCATTTTAATTGGCCATCAAAACAACTAAGAAATAGATTTAATTCTCTTGAGTAAGCTTTTTATACATATTTGCCTACATTTTTTCCGACTGACATCTTTCTTTTGGCTCATTTACGTTGGGTAATTGTCTTTATCTGACTGTGCCATCTGCACTGCGCCATAATCTCAACGCTTCATGACATAATTTTCATATTTAATTTCTCTGGCTCACTCTGATTAGACAATCTCCAGGGGGCCGGTTGCATTCGCCTGTCCAATCCGAACGGCGGGTTCAATCGAGTTCAAGGCGCGTAAATGTTCGCCCGAATAATTTGCAGCTTGACAAGCATATGTAGGTACACACATCCCCTCGGACAGGCAGTTGCGGTTCATTTACAACAATCTCACATGGAAACCACAAATTTTGCGCCACATAAAACAGCCGGGCCAGAAGAAAAGCAATGAAAAACACAGATAACCGAGACGAACACAAAAAATCGAGCTTAAACAAACAAGAGGCCGCAACTTCCAGGCAGCGAACATATATTTGTTGGTTTTTCTTATTTTTTTGCCATCCAACTAATTGCTATTAATAAAAAGAAATAGCGCCGCTCAGCTCCCAACGCTATTTTCAAAGTTATGGCAGCAGGTGAGACGCTATTAGACGGCGTCTTGGGTGGCCTGATGGAAGTGGATGGAAAGCCATAGTAGTCCGATCAGAGTGCCCAAAAGGCACAACACCCAGAAAAAAAAGGGGCGATCGAAGGTGGGCGTATGGAAGCGTCTTGACTAATTTCCTGGCAACATCATTTAAATATTTCTCTTAGTGTAGCCGCCATACAATAGGCCCTTGCTCTTGTTAGCCCAACATTATTTGGCTGTGGAAAGTGTACTACCTTAAGCCGAGTCCCATTGTCTGAGACTCGGAGAGGAAAGCTGGTTAGCCAAATGGGAACTCATCTGTGATTATGCCTTTATGGGGCTTCCCACACCTGTTGATCGCCTGCATTCCACGGGGCAAACTCCGCACGACCACGATTCGGCACTGGCACCAGCACCAGCACCGGCATCGTCTCCGGCTGTGAAAAACCAATATACAGATGCACGTAAATTCAAATTTATTGCATTAACAGCCACTAATTGTTTAAGTTGCTTGCAATTAAACACGCGCAAATACGAGCAGCGCAAGCTCGTAAAAAATGCCCAAAACGCTCAGCGAAAAGCAAATACTCTGACGTACGTACTTCAAGTCTATTGACAAGTATGCTGGGCTCTCCACAATTAGTTGCTTCGGTTGCTATGAGTGCCTTGTAGTTGACACGGCTGAGTATGGAAAAACATAAATATTAAAGTTTCATTTTCCAATAAATCACTTTAGTTGTTGGGAGTCTAATTTTAGAATAAGAAAGGCAAAGTTATTACATATATTACTAAAATAATTTCAATCTTTAGTAGCCACTCGACTGGAGAAAATCTAGTGAAAATCTTTAGAGAACTTTCTGATCCAGGTTCCAGTTGGCTGGCCAAAGTGTGACCCGCATGCCAAGTACATTAACCCTAGACAGCTACATTTGAGTTAAAAGTTTGTTAAACTAATTACAGTGGAGCTTCTGTGCCGGCACAAGTTAGTTGCGCAATCTTCTGGTAAAAGGCGGATAGATATCTGTATCTGTAGCCACTGACAGTTACTCAACTTTTAGATGAAATAACAATAAGACGATTAATTATAGGAGCATCGACTACGGCAAATTGCCTGTCTGCAACTCTGTCGCTTTTTGTTTGACAAAGCCAAGCAAAACATTTCGCACTGTTGGGGCGGAGTGCATGGGCGTGAGGCACATGCAAGCGGCATGCAGGCTGCGGCATGTGGCAAGCCATTGCCATTGCCATTGCCACTGACAGTGGCAAGAGCATACAGCAAAAGCAACACAAGAGCAGCAGCCAACATAAACTTGGAGATACAGGAAACACAAAACAGCGGAGGTAGTAGATAAATTTGAGCAGCCTCTTGCAAGCGTGCGACTCGAATATACAAAGCAGCAACATAGGTTGTAGCAACAGCAACACTAGCAACAGCAACAGCAACAGCAACACGAACAGAAACAGCAACATCTACGGCAGCTGGCTAACCACTTGAAGCACTTTCGTTTTCATCTGATCGCCAGTCGGGTGGAAAGCGCCCGTTGTTGGTTGGTAATGTAATGCGCGCATCTTTAAGATACGCCACAAAGTATCTGCTGTTGATGCTGCCGCTGCTGCTGCCGCTGCTACAGCATTTGCATGCCCGATATCGATCAGCTGTGACGCAGTGCACCCATCCTACCATTTGTCTAATTGTCGAGTTTCTCGAACTCTGCCAGAGCATCCACTGGCCACATGTTGCTGCCGCTACTACCTCGCTATGATGCAATTGCAATTGAATAACAGCGGCAATCGCTGCATCAGTGAAATTGCAGCCCCTGCACTCGACCACCTCGATTCAAGGTCCCGAACTTCGATTTCTCCCGACTCTCCATCCGACGTGCCCAGTCTGCTTGGCCTGACTAATTTCGAACCCGTGCTGACCCGCAACGCTTCCGTCGATTGTCATCGGATCGGAGGCATGCGTAAAAATTTATTTTTACCCCGGCTACTACTATTTTCGTTTGCAGTACGAATTCAATTAAGTTCCCAAACATACAACGATTATTGTTATTATTATTTCTATCAATCTATCTATGTATTTATATATTTTTTTTCGCAACGCGTCGGGAAAGTTCCCACCAACTGTCGAGCGGGGAATTTTTCTTCAAGCCGTCTTGATATTTTTTTTTTTAGTTTTTTCGGGCTGATTGGGCAAGCGATTTTCGGTTTTCGAATTTTTCTGATTTTGATTATCCGACGCCGTCTTCGTCAACCAGGGGGCATGTACAAGTACCAGTAAAACACGGCGCCTCTTAATTGAACAACAACAGCGATGCCGGCCAAATGCCAACGCCCACCACAACAAATTGACAGGCCAAAAGCAGCGTCTTGGCTTAAATGATCAATCGGCTGCACAAACAAAACTGTAGTTGATGCACTTGAGGAAAAAAAGGTGTGTTTCTATTTAGGCAGTAAGGCTGCTATTACTTCCTCAAGAGGTAACCACCTCTTCTACATAGTCCTCCGTTTTCCCCAGTGTAGTGTTGCTGCTGTTGGATTTGGTGTTTCTGATGTTGCATTAACAACTTCCCCATTGGATGCAGCAGCGGCAGCACCAAGCAACATGACTTATGAGTTTGTGCATCAACACGGAATTCAAGTTGTTGTTGCTGTTGCTAGTACATATAGCTGCTGCTGCTGGCATCGTGGGGTAATGAAAACGAAAGTAACTCGCACTCACATACAAACACTCACTCACTCACTCACTCGCTCACTCAGTTACTGACTAACTCATTGGATCGGGCTGGCCGGGCAACCCACTCGGTAAATCATTTACAGCAGCCACGGGGGACGATCGTAATTATGCACATTTTAATCTAGATTTAATCGCAATTAAACTAATCACTTGACATCTTACATTGAAACAGGCGTTGAATAGCTGCCCGCTAATCACTCACTTAAATGGCAGACATAACCAGCCCTGGGATAAGGTAAAAAATGTACTCCAAATGCCACAGTGACAGAAAGTGGCATGGCATTCACCTAGCCGCAATTAATGAGTAGCTAAGCTACATATATAGATTAGACCAGGTCCTAACTGCAAATGTATATCATACATAACGTGTCGGAGCACTCCAATGTTATAAGATCGCCCGGTTGCCACTGAAATATGCCGAAGTTCGCATTTAAATTAGATTAGATAATTGCCATCACGACTCTAATATCAAACTGCACCGAACTCTTATCTAACAAGCGTTTATAGCTCATTCCCTCCATCGAAATCGAATTCTCAGCCATTAATATATCGCTAGCAAGGGGTTGCATTGCATTTTATTTATAATCAAATAAATAAATAATTATGGTAATGACCCACATGTATGACTTAATTTAGCACTTACTGCTGCTTGAGTTAAATTTAATACAAAAATACGGTTTGCATGCAAACTGTCATTTGTCTGGAGGATTGTAATTAGTGTTTTGTTTAGCTATTACAACACAAGGAGTTTGTTTATCTAAATACTTGGATAACTATCATCATAGACTATATAGTCTAGTCTTCTTATATGGACTCTACTATAAAGGTAGTTTTTTAACTGCGAATGATTTCCCTCGAGTGAGCCAGACCAACTTACCCTTTTCTACTGCCAACTATGTTGCTGCCTGCTGCTGCTGCTGCTGTGGGGCTTTTGTTTGGCGGCCCCCTCGCTGCCTTTTCACTTTCGTTGCCAAAGCTTTTGTTGTTGGCGCGGGGGCATGCCACAACGCTGTCGACGCCAACTGAGGCTGAGGCTGAGGCTGATGCTGAGACTGAGGCTGCGGCGACGGCGCTGTAAACGAAACAGTAAACGGTAAATGTTTGCTGGCAAACCCGAGCAGAGCACAGTTGCATTTTGGCGCTCGTCCCCAGCGATTCGCACTCGCACCTGGCGCCAAATTTACATTTAAACCCAAATACCTGCCGCGCATGCGCACGCGCTAAACGGAAAGCAAAAGCAGCGACTACGAAAAAGAAAAGCAAGCTTAAGTGACCGTTAATAATAATAACCCGCCGCAGGCCTAGCCAGCCAGCCAGCATCTCAGCCAAGTGGTTATATAATCGAGAGTGGACCGGAGATTGGAGCTTCTGGTTGGGGCTCCCGACATAAACATTAACTAAAACGTAAACTCGAGCTTCTGCGCACATTTCGCGATGTCGACGCCGCCCATCCAGCGGACTAATTAGTGCGCAGCCGTGGAAAGAAACCAAAATTAAAGCTGGAAGACCTCGTTAATTATAATACTTGAGTCCGAACCTCAGAAAATAAAAAAAACAGACAAATTAAATAGCTCTTGGCCCAAAGTCGCGATTCCACCTCGGTTCCCAGTTAACAGTCCCCGGAAAACCCTCCGTTTCGCTTATTTGACAGTCGGCGTGAAAGTGAAAAGCATCTGGGCGCACCGGCAGCAGCAGGACACAGATACAGCATCGACGATAAAGAGATACAAAGATACATAGATACGGCCTGCTGTGGGTCAGTCATGCGCGCGATGAGCAGCTGAGCGGTTGAAATGCGCCAGCTGCCCGAGGAGCGGTCACCAAGATGATGAAGCCATCACGGCCACAAATAGCCAACACTTTGACCTTGAGTTGGCTGAGCCTGCTGCTTCTCCTGCCCACTTCCAGGCAATTTGAAACGGGTAAGTGAATTGTCTCAAAAATAGTAACCGCCCATCCATCATCCTAATGTTTTATTTTCTTCTAAGAACAAAGACTTTTAGATCATAATCTAATAAAAATATTAATTGAATTACCTCATAGACTGCGGCTGTCGTCCCGCCCGTCGTGGACCCCGGATCATAGCCGGAGCCACCACCAATGAAGGCCAGTTTCCCTGGCAAGCCTCGCTGGAGCTGCTCCATCCCTCCCTAGGCTTTCTAGGGCACTGGTGCGGAGCAGTACTCATCCACCAGTACTGGATACTCTCAGCAGCACACTGTGTTCACAAGTAAAGAATATACTCCATATATGTTGGGTTTTTTTAACCTTTATCCTTTCTCCAGTGATCTCTTTAATCTACCCATTCCCCCCCTTTGGACGGTGGTGCTGGGCGAGCACGATCGCGACGTCGAATCGGGCAACGAGCAGCGTATTCCCGTCGAGAAAATAGTGATGCATCATCGCTACCATAACTTCCGGCACGATGTGGTGCTGATGAAGCTCTCCAAGCCGGCGAATATCGCCAAAGCCTCTAACATCAGGCGCATCTGCTTACCCTTTATGCTGGCCGCGGAAGCCGCAGAGCCGGAACTCTCAGGATCCACCACTGACGAGGATGTGCTGAGCCAGCAACTGGAGCTGGAGGATGTGCCCGAAAAGATCGACAACTTCCTGCGTAGCGTCCAAAGCAGGCGGCGCTATCGAAATGTGACGGCTCCCAGCATGCGGGAGCTGATGAACATGAAGATCCTGAACAGGATGCGCCAGGCACTTGCCCAGCGTTCCCCGCGCAGTCTGAAGCGCTCCCGGAGACGCAATGACAAGCTAATGAAGCTGGGTCCAAGGACGGATCCGGAGGACTCCGCCGAGCAGAAGAACAAGGGAAACGAGGAGCCGCGCGAAATGGTTTTTGTGGACTGCGTGGCCACCGGCTGGGGGAAGGCCAACATCAGTGGGGACCTCTCAAACCAGCTGCTAAAAACACAGGTGCCCCTGCACCAGAATGGAAGGTGAGGTCACATAATACTACCGAAATAGGTTAAATAAATACAAAGTGGAAATGGTTTCCCCCGCGTCACACAATATTGCGAAATCATAAGAACATAAACACCTTTTAAGTATATTCCCCCTTATATGGTGTATAAATAAAAGGTGCGAATCACACCAAACATAAAGCTATGGAAGTGTGAAACCTCTATTGTTTTATGAGAATATATCAACACTCACTATTTCCATTGAGTCGATGTTCGAGTTTATTGACCTTTTCACGTTACCTTATCGTTCTCAGGTGCAAGGATGCGTACGGCAGCTTCGTCAACATTCACGGCGGACATCTGTGTGCCGGAAAGCTGAATGGAGAAGGTGGCACCTGCGTGGGCGACTCAGGCGGACCTTTGCAGTGCCGACTGAACCGGGACGGCCCTTGGATACTGGTGGGAGTGACCTCCTTCGGGTCTGGATGTGCCCTGGAGGGCTTCCCGGACGTCTACACCCGCACCTCATACTACATGAAATGGATCGAGGACACGATAGCCGCCCACTAAATACCCTTCACGCAGATTAAACAACTATTGACCTGTATTTATCGAGTGGAGACTCAACTGTACATTGCTTAATGTTAGACTTATTCTAGTTTTAGCCGTAATAATCGTTACCGTTAACTAGTACGTAGACAAGGACGTTCCCTAAGTTGTTTTCCAATGAGCACAATAATTTACACCCAATCTTAAGCCTATATATCACAGTGTTGTCCCTTTCTGAGTGTCTGAGGTAACTTCATCTCGGAGGTCTACGCTTTTGGGCCAAATAGGAGCTGGTGCTGCTCCTCCGACTCCAGTTGCAAGGAGCTGGGAATGGAGGTCTTTCGGAATCCGGCGCCCAAACTGATCACCTGCACTGTCGCGCCCAGTTCCGCTTGGTCCACTTTCTGGAATTGCTGTTTACTTGATGGCCAGAAGCAGAGCATTAGAGCGGCGCAAAGGTAGTAGATTCCGGCCATCATCATTCCCAGGGCAGCTGCCCATTCGATCAATGGGAAGCCCCACTTCATGCCGTGGATTAGGTATCGCAGGGGCCAGCAGTACTCATCGACGTTCAGGTCCACCCAGAGCAGTGGCAGGACCATGTTCTCGAAGGGCGTCATGTCGCGGTTAAAGCTCACCTTGCCCACCACCTGATTGGCCTGTAACCGCAGGTGGGTGCCGTGCATCGGCGCGCCAAGTTGCTAAAGAGATAATAAGTACTTTAGTTGGCTGAGGAGGGATTAAAGTCTAGAGAGGTTGACTCACTGGCTGCACCACAAAGTAGGAGGTCAAGCGGGACTCGTCCGGATTGAGGCCCTCGAAAGGTTCTAGCAGGCTGGGATCTCCATGCATGAAATGCGGATACGTAATGGCCAAGGGCATGCCTGAGATGGATCCACTCTTTAGTAAAAATTAGTATAGGAGTCTAAAAACTACTTACTGTAATAGCAAGGTGATACATTTCCCACACCCTTCTTCAAGCACTTGTTATTTTTGCAGAAGCACGAGGAGTTCGAGTCATCCACATGGCTGTCGAAAGCATCCGGGGGCATGGTGAATTGTAATCCATCCATGCCATTGTAGGTGACCGATTGGTTGAACTTGACATGCAAACGGCGGCAGAAGGTCCTTCGGTACAGGAAAAACTCATCGTTCTCGTCCATGTCCAGCGGGAAGAGAGTGCCATCATGACTGCCCCAAATCCGATTGCACATGGTACCGCTGAAGATATACCATTAAGGTTAACAAGCTGCAAGGGTATACTAGAGACTACAAAACCTACTTGGTCTCCTCATCGTACTGCCAGCGCTTGAAGCCTCGCTCATAATTGATACTGTCCACCGCGTAAGCCCGTGGAGCGTCCGGCAGTTTGATTCCGAACTTGTCCCTGGGCTCCGGCAAATTCATGTTGAAAACATTGCTCTCGTTGCCCTCGCGAAATAGCTAGAGTAATAGAAAATAAGTGGAAACTTTAGAAATCTGCGAGCTTGGGCCAAAAGTTCAGGGCCTATGGACCCTCTAACAGATTTCTAGGAAACTTAAGTATCTGACGAAGTAAAACTTCCATTGACGTCATTGGCCAAAAAATTTGTTGAAACTCGTAAACAAAAGTACCAATAAATTTCGCCAACTCAGGGTCTAACATATATGTGTCATTCCATTAAAGTTTAATACAAATTTCAAAACATACCTTTTCCATGATGCCAAAACTGGAAAAGTCGATCCAGCTGGGCACGAACCGGGCGGCCAACTGCACAAGGTTGTCCTCGTAGCCCCACAGGTACTCGTGCACGGTTAGCTTCAGCATGGGCTTAGCCTCCAGTTGCCGGGTCAGAGCTCCCAGTCCCAGGGAGGCGAACATCGAGAGACCCGAGGCCAAAGTGGTAATGCCCATCAGGGGAATATTGGGCGCCCGGACAGAGTCTACTTTGGGATCTCCGATGGACCGCTCTGGGGCAAAGATGTACTCCCTGCGGGGAGTGTAGGTGATGGTGTTGTTGGCCTCGTTGAGGGTCACGTTATGATTGCTGAGTACCTCCTTGTAGACGTACGGCCCCACCTCCTCGACCTTCAGCTTGGTGGCCCGCCCGGACATGAACTCCTCCACATTCGTGTAGTTGAACATGTAGACGTTGATGTAGACGTCCAAGGGAGGGAAGAGCCAGAGGGCGTAGATCAAGGTACCCGGCTTCAAAGTCAATTGCTGTCAAGATATTTACAAAAAGATATGATTATTGTCTCCAAAAAATCCCCTAGTCCGGAAATTTAATCGCGAACTTCCTTATACATAAATAAGAATATTGTAAGGGGACTTACCATATCCAGAATGCTCTGCACCGGGTCCGATATGAGGACTAGGGATCCGAAGAACAGCAGTGTCATCCCCAGAGCAGCGCTCCGCAGCAGCTCTGCAATAAATTAGATCAGTGGGTGAGTTATTGGTGCGTCGTCGGATGAAGTTGAACTGGTTTTGGGCGCAGTTCCAGTTTTTCCCCACGTGCCATTGACCTTGGCCGCATCGCGGACAGATTGGCCGAGATATCCGACCTACCTCAATGGCAGGAGCAGAAGTTGCAGCTCCCGAAAAAAAAACCGATGACGCTGTGCCTGCCAGACGATGACATGCCCAAAAATATATCCGAAGGGGTTCAATGAACGTTCTTCGATTTTGCAATTATAATACCCCAGGTGCACTCGAAAACATTTAACGAGTTCTGGGAACCGACTGTACCCCTACTTTGTGAAAAAAAACTTAATATGTCTGTAATTAAAAGGTTTATGGTCTTTACTAAAATATTTCTATAGTTTCCAACTGGTTTTGGCAAATCAGACACTTTTTAGCATAATGCTAATTCTTAAGGCTGAATATTTTAAAGAAATAAGTTTTAATTAAAATATATGAGTTTTTACAAAGTAATAAATTTATGAAAAGGAGTTGTTGATTCTTGGCCAAAATTAAATTCTTGTTATCAGTGATGGCTTTGAGTTTCATAAGGAATTGAATGTTGTAAACAGAGATATGTTTCTGAAGTCTGTTTACACGACTGCCGCTCCTAGAAAAGCCATAAAATTCAAGTCCGGCTGACCTTGTTTAGAATATTAATTAAAAGCGCGGAAGATGGGCGAGGCGGTGGAAACATATCAATCTAGGCTGCACTTCGCTTCACATTACTTCAAGTGAAATCACTCACTTTACGACCAAACTCGTTTATTCTCGCGACCCGACTCGAGGCTCACCTTCCGCCAAGATTATTGTCTTTGCGGGTGTGATAATTCACTTCCGTGCTCGAAAACACAAAAAATTTTAAAGGCTTTACATATCGTAGGCTCCCCCGGATCTCTCACGTGTGGGATGCCTGTGACCGATTTGGAGCGATCACGGCCACTTTACGGCTGCGAAGATACTCACTCGCCCATAAATCAAAACTCACAATCTTAGCCCATTTATCAGCAGAAGTGGCCTAATGAAATTCCCGCAATAAAAACAAAAGTTAGAGTAACACCATCAATTGTTTGCCCGGGCAATAGCGATTTCTGTGGAAATAGAAACCGAAAACGACGCCAAGATCAATGAACTGTCAAGCGGCTAACACGCCCCTCCAGCTTAACGCCAAATGGGTCGGTCGGTCGGTCGATCGGCTCAGATCGAAAAGCAAACAGCATAAACTCATTAACAATTTCGCTTTGGTGTCAATTTTGATGTCAGTAATAGGTTCAAGACTCCAAAATCAAAACAAAACGGCGATGATACACGACAAATTATGCACGACTTCGATGAAACCAGAAATCAAAACAAACTATTCATATATAACCAATGATGGCAAATACTAGATGTGCACAGTAAGAAATTTTTTTATTTAAAAATTGTTGGATAGGATTATCATTAAAATAAATTTGTTGCATATAAGATAGAATACAACATATACCTTGTCCATATAGGTACATATGTATCTCTATTTTATTGTTAAGAAATTAGTAAATCGTAGATATCTTTGCTGCCAAAATTAGCTTCTATTAGTTTTAATCAAATAAATAAATATCTACAAACTAGCATCTAAATAGCATAAATAATTTCTTCCGGTGCAGCCCTATATGCTCATACATATCCTTGCCTTGAATAAGTCTGGTTAAATTCCCGGCCTTTGAATGGGCCCAGCCTCGCCCATAAATTAGGTCGCTAACAAAGCGGCTCAAAATTATTCTGGTGCAATGGAGTGGCCAATGCCAAAATCATCGAGCCAAGTGGCCAGAGCCAACAAAGCCCTCCCAGCTGGCGGACACAGATTCGGAGCGTGTGCCTTGTGCAACAATTGCATTGCTCAAGCCAAGAGCCCCCAAAAAGTCGATTGAAAGATTTTGTCGAACATGAGACATGGACATGGATATAGAAAAAGATATATGTAGATATATATTTGACATATGGACATGGCATGAATGAAAGACGTCTCTTGTCTCAGTCTCGCCTCTCGATCGCCAGCAGCTGATTCAGTGAGCTGTGAACTTGTTTCTGACAAGCGAGCTGCCGGTGGGATGGGGAGGGGACGATACACATATCAGTTACTAAGCTGCCTCTGCAGCGGTCTGAAGTTCAAGTTCGGTGCAATTCGCCGGCACAATAAAAAAATTCAAAATACAAAAAAACCTGAAATTAAACAAATCTGAGCACAATTTCGAGTTTTTTTTGACAAGTAAGTCAAACCATCAAAAACGCTGACCCACTGAAGTCAAGAATGGATTTGTTTTGTTTTTCTGATGGAACACCTTCGGGGGTCGTCAGGTGTACTGTGCGACTGCCACACGGAGTGAGTGTGTGTGTGTGTGTGTGTGACTTCCGTCAGACGACAATAAATTAGGCAAATATGCTAACTGCGCCGGCAAGATTCGCTCTCGACGGGGCGTTCGTATCCGAAAGATACGACTGCGACTATCCGAACTGAGATCTGCTGTGCTGTTAACTGGCTAATTGTTGTTATGATGATGCGACAGCGATATTTGTTTGCCCGTTTGACTGCTCGGCCTGTGTTTGCCTGTGTTTAGCTAATGATTAATCCCACATCTGTTGCTATTTGCTGTTAATCATCGCCAAAACCAAAAACCCAAAACCCTTAAATAGTCGCAGTCAAAGTCGCAGTCTCGCTGGCAATTAGAGGCCCGCCAATAAGGAAAAGTAAATACATATGTAGCACCAAAAAGCGTCCCCGGTACCGGCAACAGCAACGGCACCAGGCTTACTACAACTTCCCCAATTCACTGGATCCCCTGCCTGAACCACCTGATCCGATTTGTTCGCCTTTTGAAACGGATACCCCCGCCGTCCGTCCGTATAGATGTCCGTACGTACATACATTGTTGTTACTGTTTTAGTTAATGCCCGTACAATAGCTGTTATTTGCATTGTTTAGCGAGCATTGAGCTGTAGATTGTATTGATTTATTGCAAACTGCGGCAAATTAGTTGGCTGGTTCCAAAGGAATTTCTGAGAGCTCGAGAGCCCCCCCTAAACGCAAGTCATGGATGACTTTGTTCAGTCATATATCGGCATCCCGTCCGGTCTGATATCAGAGTACACTAGCACTGAGCATCTTCTATCAAAATTTACAAGTGCTATATTGTTTGGGGGGGCCATCATGGCGTTCACCTTCAGTATTCCCACCGTATTTATGCTGATTGAAATCATCGAACTTCATGGTAAGGTAATACGTGACATTTTCAGTCACAACCGATTCATTTCAAATCTTAATTTATGCAAACTTAATTACACTACCGTCCAGATCCGTTAATACACATATCTCATGTCTATATATATATAACACATATTATACACGTACATCCGAAGACTAAACTTTGGAATGACTTGGCCGAATCGATCTAGCGATCTACTTACTTGAGTGACGGCTATTACAAGCGGATTACAATTAATTCAAAGTGACCCTAACCGAGTGGCCTACATGCCATCGTTCACATATCGTCTATGGCCAGTTTCGTAAATAGAACCAACCCTATACCCTTGGCAGCATCATTTAGTTTTATGTAAATCAGCGATCTGGTCGGCTTTTCTAAATTTCGGCTTTGAAAATATGTTAACTGCTTTGACCGACTGATTGCCAGGCCGGAACGTTGCCAAGCGGGGTAAACAAACATTTGGAGTCCCCCCACTAGAACGTGGGACTACTAATTAATACAATTTCGGATCAATATTTTTTTGTTTTCTGCTTATTTTAATTTTGCGGTTCTATATTTAGCCACTGGCTGACGTGCTGCCAAAAGACTTCTTTGGACTTTACGCGAACCGATTAGAATATAATATCTCGGGAAGAACTGGTCGCCTGGCTAGCTGGCTATCAGCCATTAATAAAATTGAATATCCACGCGTGTTGCCACCTGTCAGCCAGACCAATTTTAATTAGCATTCTAATTTCGGCTGGGAACAGGTGTGTGTGTGTGAGATTTAGTAACACTTTTTATAACTCTTTTTGATTAGCATTTTTGGCACGGGGCCTGATGCCTGGGGGGCTGGCTTATTGGGGGCCTGGGGGCTTGGGGAACTGGCATTTAAAAATACATTGCACCACTCCAGCCACATTTCGGCAATCTATTTGAGAGCAATTTAGGCGACTTGAGCGACTTGACTTTTGTGCAAGTTTTTTGTGTTTTTGACTATTTTATGATCGCGTGGGGCAGCTTCCCTTGGCAAGCTGGAAACTACGGCTCAAATCAACTTTTATGGGATTTTGGCTTTGACCAATGCGGACAATGGTCGGCACGGCCCAATTTGGACAGGTGTACTCACTTGCATTGCGCTGGTTTTTGTTGGTAAATAGTTTCATTTCAGCACCCCGAAAATATGCGACTCGGACTACAATCAATTTGATCGTTACTGCTCCCTGATGGTAAGCACTCGGCACTCGGATAGGCGGGGTTAGTGAGTGAGTGACTTAGTTATTTATTGATTTATGACGAAAATCAATTAATTCTTGGTTATTATTTATGGCCGCAAATTAAACTATTAACAGGTCGCGCACGATTTGGATTGAGGGCATTTGCATAGCACCCGTTTAATTTGTTTTGACGTTTATATAAATATGAATTTAATAATAAGTAAGCTTGATTTATTCCTGGCAAGTCAGGTGTTACTTTCAGCGACCCGTAAGTCCCTTTCCGTTTCGGTCCGTTGCTATCCGATTTAGCAATTTAGTAATGGGGATTTGTAAGTGACTCGGCCAGGGCTAGAATCACCGTTTTTGTCTCGAATCGAACTGATCTAGCACGCACTTCCTATTCTCACAAATTTTGACAGCTTAATGCGCCGATCTCGACTGCAGCGGGGATCTTTATATGGACTCTTGGGCCGATCTCCATCTCCGACTGGGCACGATCCGAGCCGGGCTCGGATCCAAGTCGCGCTGTCGGTCGGGTCGGCTAGCATCTCAACCTTTTCAGTACCCAATACCCAGTAACCGGTCCACATCCAAGCCTCTGTCTCTGCTCGGGCTTCGCTCGGCTAAAATCGTAGGAACCCAACAAAATTAAATGAAACTACGACCCACCTAAACTAATCGTCTGGTTGGTGCTACTTATGAACTCCCCACCCCATGATCCTCCCCAGAACTCCCCTATCTTGGGTTAGAGGGGTTCACCATTGTCTCGGGCCCAGGAGAATTATTATTTCATAAATTTAATAGCTCAAATGACTCTATTTAGACAAAGCTTTTTATCTTGGGCACACATCATACACGCACACGTGCCAGAGCCCTTTGAAAACTATTAATTCATATGCATGAGACTTGCTTGCAATTAAGATCCACTTCTTGACTCAATTATCTCCAGTCCAGATTCTTAGCAGCTAATAACGATTTGCTCTGGCAATTATCTGTCCACTATTTATCTGGTTCCTAATGGCAGATCAATACCGATCGCAAAGTCGGGGTCGGGAAATCTAATAATAGTACCAGTGAACAGACATCTGAAGCTGTCACATCCGCGCTGACCTATTTAGCTGCTATTCGCTGGAAACCGATCCCGAGCCAAGATCCATTAATGTCATCTCCAATTGCTCTTCCTGTCATACGCTTGTATGAGCCTCGCCATTTTCCATTTTTTATTGCCAACGACAATTGTCTGGGCTGGTATAAACTGTTGCTACCACGTACTTAACAGAATCCGGCGATCCCGAATGAACAATGAGTTTAAGGTTCCCGCTACTAAGTATCAGTTGGCATGTATGGAGCAATTTGTTGCTCTCCATGCTAATTGTTGTTTGTGCTTATGGCAGCAGGAAAGCGGCAGTCTGGGGCGGCAATTATGGCCCGGGGCATCCCAAAGTCCCATTCTGGGCTAGACTTTTAGCTTTTATGCTTTTAGCCGAAAGTTACGCGCGTGCGACTTCTATCTGGATTGTGGCCCGAATAAAAGCTTTCCGCGAAGAGCTGGAATAAAAACTTGCCATAAAACGACAGTTATATTATCATAGTTATATAAATATAAATATGCCTTAAATTTATTACCACATTGATGACATAAATGAAAGTAATAAATAGATTCAATGAGTTTGTTACAAAACATCTCAGCAGTCATCTGGTTTTAAATTAATTTACAATCAATAACTTGTTTATGGTTAAAATTAATTAAATTGTTCAGGTTTACGATAAAAATTTTAAATAAATGGTTCATATAAATAAAGCTCTTTTTTAGTCAGAACAATGCTAATGACAAATACGTCTTAAAAACACGAAAATATAACTTCCTCTGACGTACAATGCTTTGCTAGACAAATGGAAAAATTCACGTGGAATACCACGGATCTGACTAACCCCATTGAATATCGATCAATATTTGCCAGATTTACGAAAATAAACATAAAATGGCACGCAAATAGTTGCAAACTTTGTTATTAAGCTGTGAAATTTTGAGCCACAATTATCGTTTCGTTGCCAATGAGGAAGGTAATTGTTTGGTGGCCATCCAGCTCCAAGGCCGGGAAAGCCCAAAAAGAGGAACGAAACAAATGTATATATTCTTTAGAAACAATGCAAACGGCTCTCAAGACTATTCCGCATTAATCGCCCACTTAACCCAGGCAACTTCTAACGAGCTTCAAGGGGCAGCGGATCATCGAATTTTGTTAGAGTTCAATTGTTATAATCTACGCAAACAATGACAAGTGCAAGTTCTCGAAACTGCACAAAAATCTCATAAAATTCACAAAAAACGCTCACTTTCGAAATTAGGGGCTGGCATGCGAATATTATTTTGTGCCAATATTTTGTGCCTACTGACATGAACCCGGGCCCCGGCAAGGGGAAGACCCGGGCATGCGATCGGAAAGCGGCATCCCCACGCTCAAAATTATAACTGTACGGAAAACTAGTCACTTTAGTGCCACTTTATTGCCGGTTCCACCCAAAAGTATTGTCCGAGGAAGCGGGTAACTTCGTGACGATGCCGTATTAGCACATGGAAAGGTGACAAAAGCGCTCCGGACAGAACAATGGAGTGCATATACGAGGGCCCGCTAGAAAGCTGGACAGTTGAATTGACCCGGTCTTGGCAGGCAGCTGCCATCACGAAACACGAATCGAGCTTGGACATCCTTGAACCAGATCAGGGGTTTTTCCCCACCAGCAAACAAAGTCTACACTCTAGACTCTAGACAATGGTGGACCTTTTGAATTTTATTAGCATATGTTAAATTGCTCATACGTCACGTTGGCTTCCATAAACAAATTTTCCGCATCTTGAGTGCCGAAAATAATCACTTCCTATTAAGCGGTAGTTAATCAAAAATTACGCATGTCTGGCCAGAATTTATTGCACAGATCTGCGTACATTGGGCCAAGGTTAAGATGCCACTGAATGTCACTCATACAACACGTTATTTCCATATAGAATTTTCCATGCCTTTAATTCTAAAAAAAAAGACGTTACGTTTCTAAATAAATCCAAATTCATTTGAAATCGGCCTATAGTAGAAATCGACTGTAGTTTTCAAGACATTTTATTGGTTTAAGATTATATATAATATAAAAACTTTCTTACAATGTAAGACCATTTAAAAGGAGATTACGGAATAATAATAATCTGCAATTCGTTTGAATTTCCCCAAGCTTTAAGGGACTTTAGCCAGACTTTATCCATGTTCGCCAAATGGATGTTATAATTAAATACCGAACGGAAGGCAAGCATAGTGGGGAGTGCCCAGAGCCACTAATCGCCAATTATTAATAAGAGCGCTCGATATCAGCTACCTGGTAATGGAATTGAAACTGGAGCTGGATCGGGGAACCAACAATGAGGAACCAACAATGTTGGACGCCAATTAGATTTAAATATAAAACGTTCCGCCCGACTCAAGCAAATAGAGAACTAGTTTAATTGAAGCGATAATCGCAACAAAAACAACCCCACTAATGGCCCACTATGGGTCAGAGAACGGAGACGATGACAAAAAAACCAGCCGGTAAGTAATGGGGCTTTGTGGCTAATTAGTTAGAACGTTTATTACAAATATTAAGTTAATAACCATCCAGAAGAACACGATCTCTATGATGTCACGTTGTGTTGGGGAAAGCGTATTACGTATACGCACTGGTGTAATGGCCGCATATGAGCCAAACAGATTACAGAATCGAAACAATTGGTAGTCGGATTGCCTAACCGGCATGACCCCAAATTAAATAACTATGCAAAGTCGAGCAGCCCATTTAATACCCCAGCACAATCAGCGACGCCAGACTCTAAGCCCGCGGTTATTAAACAATAATCAAAATATTATAATTAATGATACTGTTGCCAACTCTGACGCCAGGAACGAATGCGGAATCGGAATCGAAATACGGAGGAGGAATGCAGTCCCGCTAGGCCGTTGAGCACATAAATCAGTTCTAGCCACATTCATTCATTCAGGTGGGGTAGCCGCAGCCCGGTTGGGGCACTAAGCCTTCTTATCAAAAAATTTGTCATTTATTCCGCCATGCATAATTCTGCTCCTGATAGCCATCCGCGATTTCAGATATCTCGTTAGCCAACTGTCACTATTTGTTAGCTTGGCCCAATCTCCGTTTAAATTTCCATTCCGAGTTTCCATCTCCGATCCGTGTTCCCCATTTCCCACACCAACGCACCCGAGGACGTCCCATTCCGCTCCAGCTGCTGCAAAAGTTCCAGCCTCGCGACATAATTAGCCTGCATATGAAAATATTTTAGAGGCTTCATCCGGAGTTCGGGTTGCTTCGTTCTTCCAACTTCCGCTCGCCTACGCTCGGCATTTCGGGCTAAAAGTGGGTGGCCATATCCTCCAGCTAGCAGCTCCTATAAATACCTGTTGTCAATGGCATTTGGCCAACATTTATTCGCGGTTGCGTCTGCTGATTAAACAACCACCCGGGTCCAGTTGCTCAATCGCTCAGTTTGCCAAATACTCACTTTTTGACCAGGTAAGCAGTGTTCAGGATTTATAAGCCCTAAACGATGAGTCACCCAAGTTAGTTGCACAATTATCAACAGCTATAGCTTTTAGCCTGGCAAATGTTTAACAACATTATCGGTTCTCAGAACTATTCCGCTGATCGAACTACAGTGACTCATTTCTACATCCTTTTGTGCCGTCGACTTGACCTTTGCTAGAAGCCAAGTTGCTTGTAATATACTTAATTATCGGTTAAGTGGAAGTATTAGCCACTTGCGTCAGTCCCGCCCGAAAATCATTGACCGGCGCCCATCTATGAGCGCTGGCAATTAAAATGGGATTGTCGGATCATTTAGTTCAGATCCCGCAAATTAGCATATGCGATTACTGGCTATTAAGTGTGGCCCTACTAAGACCCAGACCCCTATATAGGACCTCTAGCGATACAATATACTAATTGTGTAATTATTGAATCATATTTTTTTATGATCGAATATATTAAAAACAAATCAAGGGTGATTTTTCCTCTGGAAAACTACGTTTAGAGACCGACGCAAATTGAAAATTGTTTAAGACATTATTAGTATTTTAAGTATTTGCATATTCTTAGTGCAAATAACTAAATGCATCAAAGAGCAGTTTCTAATTTATTCATAAACATCTAGTCTAGTACATATTTAAACAGCAGTATGTATGCAAATATCTTGGGTTCCGTGAACTTAAATTGATCGGCTTTTACACTATTAGCTTCAAGGTTTTCTAAACGATTTGAATTTCTCATTAACGGCAGCACCATGTGCCACACAATGCGTTGCATTCTGATCGTCTGCGTGGCCGTCGCCCTCCTTGCCGCCGGATGCAGTGTGGAGGCCTCCAACTCCCGGCCGCCCCGCAAGAACGACGTAAACACCATGGCGGATGCGTACAAATTCCTCCAGGATCTGGACACCTACTACGGAGACAGGGCCCGAGTTCGATTCGGAAAGCGTGGAAATCTAATGGAACTCCTGCGAAATCGCGAGATCGAAAATAACTTCAACTTGGGCAAAGGTGTCAACAGTGGCGGAGAATTGGTAACAAGTGACTAATTAAATATTGACGGAAAATATAGCTGTATCCGGCAGATCCGCGCCTTGGATGAGGAGGAGGTCTTCTAATGGAAAAATCGAGGCGACCACGGCAACGTCCAACACTCATGTTTATAATTATTAGCATACGTACCTTTGTTGAGCTTATGTTTTGGGGCAATAGTTTAACTATATGGGGGTGTACTTTGTAGTTGCAACTGCATAACAAATGCTTAAATAGTCTTGATGTTAATTAAATAAATGAAAAAATATCCAAATAATCGTTTTTGTGATGTTACAATATAAATAAAAAGTGCAATGATCAAATAGTTGTGTTTCTTTTCGAAAAATATTCAATTTTCGATGAAATTGGGGATTTACTTGTTAGTAACACTATTCATAATTTTTCCATACAGGCTTAAAATTATAGAATCATGAAATTAAAAAAAAAAATAAACTCTATAAAAGCTTTTTGTATGGGTCACTGAGTGCTGAGTCCTAAGTTTAATTTATTTATACTCCACTTGTTACCTAAATATAGTACCTACCTTTCTCTGAAATAGATCATTAAATCTTGGGGTTCCCGAACTCTGGACAAGCTTAACTAGGGAGAATTTTCGGGTTCAGTATATATAAGACATAAACTTTAAGTTCTCCTACAAAAAAATAACATTTCCTTTTAAAAAGCAATTCTCTTTTGCTTGTCATTGTCAAGATTTTGCAGTCTACTTCTCGGCATATTCATCTATTACAAAATAAAATTCTAAAAATATTTATAAAAGTAATGTTAATTTCTAAAAATAGCTCACCTTGAAGAATAACGTATCTTTTAGAACCTGAACGGTAAGTAGCTTTCAAAGCAAGCGGCAACTAAAAATAATTTTTTGTTAATATATGTATAAAAAATGGGAAGTAAACTTTTTTGCCACTATCAGAAGCCGACTTATACATACTAATATATACTCTTGCAGTTATTTTCCGGAACCATCATTTAGTTTTGAATTCTTAAAAACCGTCTACTTGCCAAAAGCCAACAGAAAATGTGACAAAAAATTTAAAAATATGTTTTTCCTAATGTATATTTACAAAGAAGTGACAAATTCACAAATCGATTAAGGTATTCCTTGTAAGAATCGGATGAATTTTGGCAAAGTTATAGCCTTTAATGTAAGCCCATACACTTTTAATTGTAAGTCCCATTTATTTGCCCACTTTTGAAGAGTCTCCCCCAAAAAATTTGTCCCAAATTCTTTTAGAAATCTTTCTCGTAATTTACATGCAGATTGGTAAAGAATCGGATAAAAAATATACTAAGTATATTTGGCAAAGTCAATGCCTTATAATCATCCTTAAAGTAAAGTCCCTATAAGATTGAATGAATTTCTGCAAGTGGATCAGTGGCGGATTTAAGGATAAAGGCCCAGTGGGCAAAATTTTTTCAGGGTACATTGAAGGGTATTTTGAAGGGTACAGCCCAGAAAATTTGACAAAAAATCTTAAAAATATTTTGTTCCCAGATTTTGATGCAGATTTATGAAGAATCGATCCACAAATCGTTTAAGGTATTCCGTTCAAGAATCGGATGAATATTTCCTAAGATATGGCCTTCGCAGTGGGTCATATGGGGCTCCCCATGCATTTTGCACATTTTGAAGGGGACAGCCCAGAAAATTTGACAAAATATCTTAAAAATATGTTGTTCCCATATTTTGATGCAGATTTATGGAGGATCGATCCACAAATCGTTTAAAGTATTCCGCTCAAGAATCGGATAAATATTTCCTAAGATATGGCCTTCGCAGTGGGTCATATGGGGCTCCCCATGCATTTTGCACATTTTGAAGGGGACAGCCCAGAAAATTTGACAAAAAATCTTAAAAATATTTTGTTCCCAGAATTTGATGCAGATTTACGGAGAATCGATCCACAAATCGTTTAAAGTATTCCGCTCAAGAATCGGATAAATATTTCCTAAGATATGGCCTTCGCAGTGGGTCATATGGGGCTCCCCATGCATTTTGCACATTTTGAAGGGGACAGCCCAGAAAATTTGACAAAAAATCTTAAAAATATTTTGTTCCCAGATTTTGATGCAGATTTATGAAGAATCGATCCACAAATCGTTTAAGGTATTCCGTTCAAGAATCGGATGAATATTTCCTAAGATATGGCCTTCGCAGTGGGTCATATGGGGCTCCCCATGCATTTTGCACATTTTGAAGGGGACAGCCCAGAAAATTTGACAAAAAATCTTTAAAATATTTTGTTCCCAAATTTTGATGCAGATTTATGAAGAATCGATCCACAAATCGTTTAAGGTATTCCGTTCAAGAATCGGATGAATATTTCCTAAGATATGGCCTTCGCAGTGGGTCATATGGGGCTCCCCATGCATTTTGCACATTTTGAAGGGGACAGCCCAAAAAATTTGACAAAAAATCTTTAAAATATTTTGTTCCCAGATTTTGATGCAGATTTATGGAGGATCGATCCACAAATCGTTTAAAGTATTCCGCTCAAGAATCGGATGAATATTTCCTAAGATATGGCCTTCGCAGTGGGTCATATGGGGCTCCCCATGCATTCTGCACATTTTGAAGGGGACAGCCCAGAAAATTTGACAAAAAGTCTTAAAAATATTTTGTTCCCAGATTTTGATGCAGATTTATGAAGAATCGATCCACAAATCGTTTAAGGTATTCCGTTCAAGAATCGGATGAATATTTCCTAAGATATGGCCTTCGCAGTGGGTCATATGGGGCTCCCCATGCATTTTGCACATTTTGAAGGGGACAGCCCAGAAAATTTGACAAAAAATCTTTAAAATATTTTGTTCCCAAATTTTGATGCAGATTTATGAAGAATCGATCCACAAATCGTTTAAGGTATTCCGTTCAAGAATCGGATGAATATTTCCTAAGATATGGCCTTCGCAGTGGGTCATATGGGGCTCCCCATGCATTTTGCACATTTTGAAGGGGACAGCCCAAAAAATTTGACAAAAAATCTTTAAAATATTTTGTTCCCAGATTTTGATGCAGATTTATGGAGGATCGATCCACAAATCGTTTAAAGTATTCCGCTCAAGAATCGGATGAATATTTCCTAAGATATGGCCTTCGCAGTGGGTCATATGGGGCTCCCCATGCATTTTGCACATTTTGAAGGGGACAGCCCAGAAAATTTGACAAAAAATCTTAAAAATATTTTGTTCCCAGATTTTGATGCAGATTTATGAAGAATCGATCCACAAATCGTTTAAGGTATTCCGTTCAAGAATCGGATGAATATTTCCTAAGATATGGCCTTCGCAGTGGGTCATGTGGGGCTCCCCATGCATTTTGCACATTTTAAAGGGGACAGCCCAGAAAATTTGACAAAAAATCTTTAAAATATTTTGTTCCCAAATTTTGATGCAGATTTATGAAGAATCGATCCACAAATCGTTTAAGGTATTCCGTTCAAGAATCGGATGAATATTTCCTAAGATATGGCCTTCGCAGTGGGTCATATGGGGCTCCCCATGCATTTTGCACATTTTGAAGGGGACAGCCCAAAAACTTTGACAATAAATCTTTAAAATATTTTGTTCCCAGATTTTGATGCAGATTTATGGAGGATCGATCCACAAATCGTTTAAAGTATTCCGCTCAAGAATCGGACGAATATTTCCTAAGATATGGCCTTCGCAGTGGGTCATATGGGGCTCCCCATGCATTCTGCACATTTTGAAGGGGACAGCCCAGAAAATTTGACAAAAAGTCTTAAAAATATTTTGTTCCCAGATTTTGATGCAGATTTATGAAGAATCGATCCACAAATCGTTTAAGGTATTCCGTTCAAGAATCGGATGAATATTTCCTAAGATATGGCCTTCGCAGTGGGTCATATGGGGCTCCCCATGCATTTTGCACATTTTGAAGGGGACAGCCCAGAAAATTTGACAAAAAATCTTAAAAATATTTTGTTCCCAGATTTTGATGCAGATTTATGGAGAATCGATCTACAAATCGTTAAAGGTATTCCGTTCAAGAATCGGATGAATATTTCCTAAGATATGGCCTTCGCAGTGGGTCATATGGGGCTCCCCATGCATTTTGCACATTTTGAAGGGGACAGCCCAGAAAATTTGACAAAAAATCTTAAAAATATTTTGTTCCCAGATTTTGATGCAGATTTATGGAGAATCGATCCACAAATCGTTTAAAGTATTCCGCTCAAGAATCGGATAAATATTTCCTAAGATATGGCCTTCGCAGTGGGTCATATGGGGCTCCCCATGCATTTTGCACATTTTGAAGGGGACAGAAAATTTGACAAAAAATCTTAAAAATATTTTGTTCCCAGATTTTGATGCAGATTTATGGAGAATCGATCCACAAATCGTTTAAAGTATTCCGCTCAAGAATCGGATAAATATTTCCTAAGATATGGCCTTCGCAGTGGGTCATATGGGGCTCCCCATGCATTTTGCACATTTTGAAGGGGACAGAAAATTTGACAAAAAATCTTAAAAATATTTTGTTCCCAGATTTTGATGAAGATTTATGAAGAATCGATCCACAAATCGTTTAAAGTATTCCGCTCAAGAATCGGATAAATATTTCCTAAGATATGGCCTTCGCAGTGGGTCATATGGGGCTCCCCATGCATTTTGCACATTTTGAAGAGGACAGCCCAGAAAATTTGACAAAAAATCTTTAAAATATTTTGTTCCCAGATTTTGATGCAGATTTGTGGAAAAGAAATCGAAGGTGTAACTTTCAGCACTAGGGGCCCTGAAAGCCTTTCGTCGGGGGGGCCCAGTGGGCAAGCGCGCCTTTGCCCACCTGTTAAATCCGCCACTGATGTGGATATATAAAGCTTGTGGAATTAGTCCACATTAGCTTCTGATAAAGCAAATAAGTTTTAATAAATATCTTACCCAGGGGCATGATGGAGATCAGTAACAGATATTGCGCGCAGTAGTGATGGATGAACATTCCGGTTGTAATTGTGCCCACCACTGCGCCACACCGAGCCCACATCAGGCAGATGCACATTGCCTTGGCGCGAAGGTAGGTGGGCACGTCCTCCAGAAGAGCGCCACCTAGCAAACTTAGTACCACCCCAGGCAAGCCCAAAAGCAGGATGCATGTGACGAGCTGCAGCCAACTGGTCAGCACGAAGACCAACAAGCACCCGCTCGTCGAGGTGATCAGGATGCTGACTATAAAAATCCACCTTCTGGGGACTTTACAAAGCAACAACCAGCAAAGATTGTACATCAAAACGTTGAGGGCGCCCATAACGAAAGAGTCGTTGAAGCCCTTGAAATCGTCGTTGCAGATCTATTTAAGACAAGGAGCATTATAAAACAGTGGTTATTCTACTTATTAATATTAAAATTTCATGGGTTTTAGTTATGTATGTATTTACTTATTTGGAAGGAGTTGCCTACCACTTCAAGGTCTTTTTCGGGCTCCAAAATCAAGCCCAGGTCGGGTACGAAAAGTATCTGGCATAAGGACATGCCACTCTTGTCACCTCTGCGCATGTTGGCGCGATTCCGCATGGCTGTGTACCAAATTCCTAGGCCGTTGGTTCTGCGGTATTGAGGAAGGGGTGAGTGCACGCAACAAATCCAACAAGTTCCCAATTTTTAACCCAAAACACTCACATCATGCCCGAGATAAACATAACCAAGCAGGCGCTTATCAAATTCCCTAAATAGGGTTTCCGGAACAAGGGCATCGCGTCACTCACCATCGCCCGTAGGATATGTTGATCCGACTTTTGACGCTTTACCTGCGCAAAGTTCTGAAAACTGTGTAGCTGGACAATTTGCTCTGGTGTAAGAGGACGCCCAGTGTTTTTCATAGAGATCCACTCCACCACTTTTAGACCCTTATGGGTGTCACCGATCATGAAGAGGAACTTGGGGCTCTCTGGCATAAACAGTAGCAGGATTAAGGCAATTATTCCGGGCAAGACGTAAACGCAGCCCAACATTCGCCAGGGCCGCCAGACCAGACTGCCCACTAATTGCACCTCAAAATCAATATGTCCTGACGTGAGAAAAAGTGTCGCCATTCCTGGGCAAAACATCATGGCAAAGCCGGTGAACATGAACATATGGGTGATGACACGAGACAGGAGCGCCCTGGGGAAGAACTCGGACAGGTAGGTGACCGCTACGAAGCTTGGACCTGCCACACTAGTCCGAGGTAGGAAAGTCCGCAATACGCTACTATCCATAAACCTCATACTTACAAAACTCCAGTAAAAAATCTCATAAGGAAGAAGCAGGGGAAGTTGACCATAAACATCGAGGTAATCGAGCACACGGTGCTCATGGTGATTGTCCGCAACAGAGTCCAGCGTCGTCCCTTCTTGTCGGTGATGTAGCCCCAGAAGTAAGAGGAACAAATGATGCCCATTAAGGTGGCGGCCGTCAATGCAGCCATTTGCATCTGTGTCATACGCATATCACACACTGATGCTGGAGCGACTACACCCGACATGCCCATTGTTTCCGTAAAGGTCAGCATCTGGAGCAGGCCGAGAGTCAGCAGGGCGAACAGATGCACCTTGCCGAATCCTGTCCGATTGTCGTTATTTAAAAGTTTTAAGTAGATTAAGGATTGTTAGTTACCGATCTGCTCCATGACTCGATCAAAATTTTCCATCCTCCGTGTCCTTGTAGTAGATTGCTACCTAATTGAGAATTTTTTTCGTGTGTTTTCGCTATTTTTGACAAAAATGTCAGTGCCAACCACTCCTAATCCATTAACACTTCTGTGTAGCCCAAAGAAAATGAATTTCTTAATTTTTTTATTTTAAATACTTTGTACAGACATTAATAATGTTATGAAGTCCCTTGAGCTACGATTTCGCAGTTTACTTAATGGAATATTTACATATATGATTTGTGACTTATTAATTGAATTGATTCTAAAATATGGTAAGTTTAGAAAACAAAATTGGATTAATAAAACAGCTTACCCTTTAAAGTGGCAAAAAACTTGAAATACCGACGGCGACTGTAAAGAGATATTTTAATTATATTTTTTGAAAGGTAACAAATATAAGTAAAAAGTTGATAGTTTTTAGATATCAACCAAATAGGTATGTAAGTACCCATGGTACCCATTATTAATAAGTCAATAAATATCTTACCCAAAGGCAAAATGGCAATCATCAATATGAATGGCTCACACTGTACATGGATGAAGTTGCCAGTGGCAATTGCCCCCACAATTGCTCCAACACGAGACCACATCAAGCAGATGCACATCGCCTTGGCACGTAGGTAGGTGGGTATAGTTCTTAAGAGAGCGCTACCTAGTAGGCCCATTACTACCATGGGTAAGCTCAGAAGCAGGATATACGAGATGAGTTGCACCCAAAAATTCATCGAAACAATCAAGATGAAGCCGCAGGTTGAAGCGCCCAAGAGGAAGATGGTTAAAATCATGCTCTGGGGCACCTTAAACAGCAAGAGCCAGCAAACGTTGTACAGCAGGACATTGATGGCACCCATGTAGACTGCTTCGTAAAAGCTCTTGAAGTCATCGTTGCAAATCTGGTCCACACAAGAACAGAATCAATCATTTTAAAGCATATTCCCTATTAGTACCTTACCGCATAAACGTCATTTTCGGGCTCCAACACTAAACCTATATCGGGTACAAAAATTACCTGGCAGAAGGACATGTGGTCCTTATTACCTTTTCGCATAATATAGCGATTCCGCATGGCCGTGAACCAAATCCCAAAGCCATTGGCTCTGCGGAGTAGGAAGCACTTTAAACCGGTAACTCCATTTAGATTCTTATAAACTCACACCATGCCCAGCAGAAACATAATACAGCAGGCACCGATTAAGGTAGCCATATACGGGGTCCGGAACAAGGGCATTGCGTCGTTTAGCATCGATCTCAGTAGGTGTTCATCAGTCTTCTGGCGCTTTACTTGGCAATGGGCTCTGAAATGGTGCAACCAAACAATTTGCTCCGGGGTAAGGGCCCGACCGGTGTTTCTCCTACTAATCCACTGCATCACTCCCAGTCCCTTTTGCATCTGGCCCATCATAAAGTAGAACTTTGGGCTTTCTGGAATAAACAGCAGCAGGACAAAGGAAATAAGACCCGGCAAGACGTATGAGCAGCCCAATAGGCGCCAGGACCGCAGGACAAGATCTCCAGCAATAGGAACTTCCATCTCCCCGAGGCTCGTTTTGAGAAAGAGAGTGGCCATCAATGGGCAATACATAATAGCAAAGCCGGTGAACATGTACATGTGGGTGATGACAGTGGACACTAGACGTCTAGGGAAAAACTCGGACAGATAGGTGGGCGCCACAATGCCCGGTCCAGCCACGCTTATCCGGAAAGATAGGATCATAGTCAAATAATTACGAAGTATGAGTTACTTACAAAACTCCAGTTAAAAATCTCATAAGGAAGAAGCCGTGGAAGTCAACCATAAACATGGAGGTGAGTGAGCATAAGGTGCTCAGGACAAGTGTTCGCTGGAGGGTCCAGCGACGCCCTCTCTTATCGGTGACGTAGCCCCAGAAGTAGTTGGAGCAGATGATGCCCATAAAGGCAGCTGAGTTCAACACAGCCAGCTGTACTTGACTCAGACGAAAATCACACACCGATGCGGGGCCGACGATCCCCATCCCCATGGTTTCCGGAACGGTTAGCATTTGAATCAGGCCGAGAGTCACTATAACGAACACATGTACCTTGCCAAAGCCTGTGCCATTCGTGGGGTTATTAAAATGGAATTGGATTTTGGACAATCATTTACCAATGCCCTCCATCGCCCTATCGAAGTGTTCCATTTTCCCTGCCTTTGTGAAATTGGAGTAATAAACTGGTAACGTGTTTGTGTTGTATATGATTTCGCTTTGGTTTGACAAAAATGTCAGTGTCCAAGGACTTTGAAATAATACACTAACCGTTTCGTTTCTTCAAAAGATCTGCATACTGTTCAAAGGTCCAAAGGGATAAAATCCACTCGACCCCAACCTGGTATCGGTTTCGGTGATGTAGCCCCAGAAGTAGGAGGAGCATACGGTGCCTTCGAAAGCAAATGCAGTGAGTGCAGCGACGGGACCCACGATTCCCATTCCCATTGTCTCGTAAAAGTCAACATCTAGAGCAAGCCGAGGGTTAGTATATGGACCTTTCCAAAACCTATAAAAATATTTGCCTCAAAAGCTTAACAGGATCCTGAGTTTTTCATTATCTATGATACATATATTCTCCATTACCATAAAAAAATCCTCTATTCTCAACGTTAAAGCTTTAATAAGAGTAGGTTTTTGTTTAATGGCTATATTTTGACAACAATTTCAGGGCCTAGCCCAGCTGGATGTTTTCCACTTCCTTGATGAGATCCATGTGTTTGAACTCGTCCGGCTTTCGTGTGAAGGTCTCCAGCAATCGCAGCTTACTTTCGTCTGCCTTCAGGTAAAACATCTGCAGCTCGTTGGCCAAGCACTGCGCCTCCTGGGCGGTAAGCACCTTGTTGTCGTACTCGCCACGCATTAGGACTACGCCCTTTTCCTGCTCCTCGGTATAATGCACCAGCGTCAGGCATTCGGGAGCGTTCTCGTGGTGGACCTGATAGGCCAGTAGAGGGGTGAAATGTACTGTGTTAGCTGCAAACTGCAGCATGATGAACTCAAAGCCCTCGCTGCGTGGCAGGGGCAACAAGAAAACTGGGTACTCCTTTGCCCTCGCCATCAAGGTTTCGTACTGGGAGGTGCTCAACGTTGCCGCCAGCACTTCCTTAGTCTTGTGGTATTCGAGCCAGATCTGAGAAATCTCTTCGGCGCTTTTGTCGGCAATCAACTCCAGCTTCATGATGTCTGTTAGCTTCTTGTGTGGCAGCTCAGCTTTCTGCTCATCCAACTTGGTTTTGGGGTTCAACAGCTCAGAGTAGGTCCTGCAAATCATGATAGGTATATGCATATAATAAATGAAACCCGGACTTTTGTTGCATCTGCCTACCTGGCCTGGCTCTTGCCATCCTTTATGGGGTTCACCACTCGCTCGACGCGGTCTAGGAACTCCTCCGCCGAAGTTTGTTGTAGCTTGGATATCTTGTCAGCGTACTTGGAGTAATAGGGATTGCTCTCCTTCAGCTTCTCAACGGCCTCCTCCGCGCGGCGGGTAGCTGACATGGCGATGCACCGGGTCACGGCAGGTGAGTTATGCATGACAAAACTTTGAAGAAGTTTCCGAGCACAAGCCATGCCAAACAGAACTTTTGGGGGAAAAAAATTATACAATCTGCTCGATGTCGATGTTAGTAAATCGATTCTAACTATCGATTTTTTCTTCGACCTTCAACACTGTTGTAAATAAAGTTGCCAGACTTGGGAGCTCCCGTTCGATGATATTTTTTGAGCTCCTACAAACTTGGGATTGGGTTTTTTATTGAAGATTTATTGGTAAGAGTTTATTTAAACCTTGATTTCCAGCTACTAAGCTTTATTTTCTAAAACTAGCCACAGAGTGTGTATGCGCCCTAACAGTCTGTACGTGGTCTGTTACTTTTATGTTAACAAACGCTTAAAATTATGCTACAAAAACATCATATAAATAATGTAATAAATTTAAAAATCTCCTCGCTTCTCGTTAAAATTGTTAAAATAAAAATTAATTATTATTATTATTAATATATTACCTAAACTTTGCCTCAAATCACTCAATTCTTAAATATTCTTTAAGAAAGGTCTATTCTTAATATAAAATTAAACCTTAATGTCTTACTGATAATTGAAATACCTATTTACTTGTAATTTGCTGTGATTGAACTGCCAATTGCATATATAATTACCCGGTCGAATGAGAATTAATCCGCCTTCGAACCTTCCGTCAACCGAATTTGTTTAGCAAATTAAAATCCACGCACCAGGGATGCAGTTTTCGAATTGAAATATATATATTTATTTCATGGTATTCGAAAGAGCAGGTTTATTCTACTCTCTCCATTAAAAAAACAACTTTAATAATTTACTGCGCAAAGCTTTGTTCTCAATTTGCCAGCCCTGGGCACTGGGACTAAATTTCGACGATTCCAGCTCATTAAGGGTATAAATAAAACCACAAAATTTCGGGTGCCTCATACATTTTTTAAATTTCGGCAAAACCGCGGTCATTTTTTACTGGATAGCTGTCGTCTTTACTCTTTGAACGGATTAAAGTAGCCAAAATGGAGTCGGATATACAAAATTGCTTTAGGAGCAAAACAATATTCCTAACAGGAGCCACAGGGTTTTTGGGAAAAGGTTCGTACTTGCAGAAACGCGGGATGTGGACTTTGATTTTAAGTCCAAATTAAAGATCGCAATGTTTTAAACTGTGATTTCATCCATCTGTGATTTCAGTTGTTATTGAAAAGATTCTGCGCACCACCGAAGTGAAGCGAATTTATGTACTGGTTAGACCCAAACGGGGAGTAGATATTCAGGAGCGCATGGCTGCTTGGTCCAAAGATCCGGTACGTTTTAAATAAAGAAAACCATCGGACACTAATCCTTTAAATCGCAAATAGATCTTCGGAGTGTTACTTAAATCCAAACCAGAGGCCCTACAACGTATTTCCCCCATATTCGGAGACTGCCGGGACTCAAACCTGGGTATTCGAGAGATTGACAGAAGACTGCTGGCAGCCGAAGTGCAGATCGTGATTCATGGGGCTGCTACAGTCCGGTTTAACGAACCCCTACACGTGGCTTTGGCCATTAATACTCGTGCCACGCGGTCAATGATCCACCTGGCCAAGGAAATGAAGCAACTTGAAGTCTTTTTGCACATCTCAACCGCGTTTTCTAACTGTGTTTTGTTGCACGTCGAAGAGAAGTTCTATCCCGAGCACTTGACCTGCACCTCGGACAAGGTTCTGGCCATTAGCGAGATGGTGAGTGATGAAGTGCTTGATCAGATGGAGCCGGCTTTGGTTGGGCAGTTTCCCAACACCTACACTTACACAAAGGCCCTGGCTGAGGATATCATTCTGAGGGAGGCGTGCGACCTACCCGTATGCATCTTTAGACCGGCAATCAGTAAGCAATCTTTTTTCTTATTCCAAGGATCTTTCTGAAATTATTTAAAAAGTCATTGCAACTCACAAGGAGCCCGTCACCGGCTGGATAGACAACATGTACGGACCGATCGCCATTCTATACGGAGTGGCCAAGGGGGTGCTCCGGGTGGCCCTAATTAACAAGGATGCCCAGGCGAGCCTAGTGCCTGTGGACTACTGCGCCAACTTGACAATTGCCTGTGCCTGGAAAACCATCGATGAAAATCAGAAGGGTAGGAGGCAGAAGGAGACGCCGATCTACCAATTATCCGTCGATGACGGGAACAAGCTCAGTCACGGGGACTTTATCGAATACGCTCTCGACGGCCGTCAACAGTGTCCTTTGACAAGGACGCTCTGGTATCCGTTCATCGTCTGCCTGTCTAGTCCTCGGTTTTTCCCTATAGCAACCTTTTTTCTGCACACCATTCCCGGCTATTTCATTGACATTGTGCTCCGACTAAGAGGCCGAAAACCTCGACTTTTGAACATTTACAGGAGGGTTCATAAGATGCTTAGTGTCCTAGGACCATTCTCAAAAAACTCCTGGGTGTTTGATATGCGCAACACCGATCATCTACGCGAGCTAATGTCCGAGGAGGACCGCAGGATGTACGCCTTTGACATGGATAGGCTGGACTGGCAGGCGTACTTCCGGAATGCTCTCTTGGGCATGCGTCTCTATTTGGGCAAGGAAGCCCCAACTGCCTTGTCACTATCCCAAGGACTTCAGTTATCAGAAAGGTATAAAGCAATTGTATTAAAACATAATCATAAAATATTGAAAAAGAAAATCCTTTTTGCAGACTCAAGATAATCCATTATTCTCTGATGATCCTTCTTTGCTGGGTAGCAGGATTTATTTTATTTTGGTTGATGAAACTTATAGTTAAATTTTAATACATTTTATAAATGAAAGAAACAATTTCTAATAAATATGTGCATGAGTGCATTTACGTTTTATATCATTAAGAGAAAATTATACTTTATTTTCATCAATTTCGGGGCTAGTCATCAAGTTCAATGAAAGTAATGAAGACAAGTTTAATGAAAACTACATAATTAGCACAATTATAAAGCTTGTGTTACATGTTTGTTCAAAACTTTTACTTAATTACACAGTGCGACAAAAAGAGAAAAATTGGAAGAACTTTTGAAGAGACCTAGTAGGAATTGTTCATTAGGTCGAGTATGGTATAAAACCATGTTTGACATTTTCAAACACCCTCAAAATCTTGATTTATTTGGAAAAACCGGTTTTTATCGCGTAATTTTTAACCGATTTTAAAATTTTGGGAAAATCGTTATAACTTCACCAATTTTCATAATTTCCTAATGAAATTGGTCTTGTTTTATTCAGAATCAATTCAGAAACAAAAAAAACCGTTTTTTCCAATCAAAATCAAGATTTTGAGGGTGTTTGAAAAAATTCAAACATGGTTTTATACTATACTCGACCTAGTGAACAATTCCAACTAGGTCTCTTCAAAAGTTCCAAATCACTGTCGCACTGTGTTACCAATATAATTGTCAAAAGAATTGCCGAAAAACGTATACACTATGGGTGCTGTTCGTCACCTACGCGGCGAACAAAAAAGGGAACAAAATTTAAATTTTTTGCATACATACCTATGTTGATTTTAAATAGTTGATATTTTTAAAAGGGATTTAATGTCACACATTCCCTAATGAAGAGGACTTCATTCATGAATTATACAAAGAAATTCACATGTTGACATTTGAATATTAAAGAGTTTTTTTCCGCCTCTGAAACTCATTTCCTATAAAAAGTGTGTCAAAACAACCGTGACAGATAGAAGCGAATAACTTTTACATTGTGCTAGTCCGTGGCTTTCTAGGCTTGGAACTTTTCAAAGGAAATCCCTTAAAAAAATAACAATCAAGGACCCATAATGGTGTGTGACATTCGTGGCTTTTATAAGGATAAGGTGGTTTTCCTGACGGGTGCCACCGGTTTTTTGGGAAAAGGTTAATAACCACACCATACCCAATTAAAAAAATAGTGGTCTTTTACATGTACATATATATTTTAGTCATTATTGAAAAACTTTTGCGGTCTACCGATGTCAAGGAAATATATACCATGGTTAGGAGCAAACGTGGTCGGAATATTGAGGATCGGCTGAAAATGTGGCAAGCAGATCCAGTAAGTGTCATCAAGGTCATGACGTAAAGATCTTACAAATAACAAAATGATTCAAAACTTCAGATTTTTGAAGTATTGTTGCGGTCGAAGCCCGATGCCATGCAACGAGTTCATCCCATCGCTGGGGACTGCAGCGAGCCAGATTTGGGAATTAGTGAGCAGGATAAAAGGATCCTGACTTCAGAGGTACAGGTAGTAATCCATGGAGCAGCCACTGTGCGATTTTCAGAGCCCCTTCATGTCGCCCTGGCAATAAATACTCGTGCCACCCGGTTGATGCTCCAACTGGCCAAGGAAATGAAGAAGCTGGTTGCATATTTGCATGTTTCCACTGCCTACTCCAACAGCGTGTTGTTCCGCATCGAAGAGAAGTTTTACCCGGAGCTGTTGACCTGTGGGTCGGAGAAGGTCCTGGCTTTGAGTGAGCTGGTCAGCGACCAAGTACTGGACGGCATGGAGCCCGCTCTAAGGGGCGACTTTCCCAATACCTATACCTACACCAAAGCCTTGGCAGAAGATGTCATCCTCAAAGAAGCTGGTAGCCTACCGGTCAGCATATTTCGACCTTCCTTTAGTAAGAAACCAAATACGTACTGCTGGATTGCGACATTTATTGTTTCTTCCAGTTATTCCCACCTACAAAGAGCCATTAGTTGGATGGATAGACAACCTTTATGGACCAATTGGGATGATGTACGGAATCGCCTTTGGCGTTCTTCGAGTGGTGAGCTTCAAAGAAAATGCGCTCAGTAGCATGGTGCCGGTGGACTACGCAGCCAATGTAGCACTTGCCACCGTTTGTAAAGCTTCAATGGACAAGCAAATAACGCTAAGAAATTCCATCGATGTTCCACCTAAGATTTACGCATTTGGATCCAGCAAGAACATGTTACGGAACAAAGACTATATAAATTATTCAATGGGACTTCGAGAAAAAATCCCTCTGACCCAGATGATTTGGTATCCTTTCATTTTCAATGTTCCCTCACCAATACTATACTCTCTGGTCGCCTTCTTAGTGCACATTCTGCCCGGACATATCTTTGATTTGCTCCTGCGACTTTCGGGAAAGAAGCCCCGATTGATCAAACTCTACAGAACGATTCACAAAAACATATATACAACTCGATATTTCACAAGCAACACTTTTCATTTTGAAATGGACAACACGAATAGACTCAGGGACCAGTTGTCGTCAGAAGAAAAAACCATCTACGAATTTGACATGGAGAGTCTGAACTGGAAGGATTATTGGAGCCAAGCTCTAAATGGTATGAGAGTCTACCTAGGAAAAGAACCCAATACCATGGAGTCTATAACTCAAGCCCAGCGACTACTATGGAAGTGAGTAACAATTACCCAAAGTGTACTTAATGCAAATATTTTCCAATTTCTTTAGATTGAAAATGGCTCACTACAGCCTAGTGGCAGTTCTTGCGTTAACAGCTGGATATATTTTATGGTTCTTGTTTAAACTATTTTTTTAAAACATTTTGTTATTAACCAACCAAAAGACATCAAATAGAACGGTCATTAAAGCTTTTTTATTTTCAGTTTAATAGATAAAACGTACATTTTAAAGGGTTTGATATGGAATGGTGGAAAATCGAATTAGAATCGTTTAAGGTACTCCGCTTGAGATTCGGATGAGAATTGTGGAAGATATAGCCATCACTGTGGGCCCTATAGGGGAAAACACCATTTTCAAGGGACCCCATCACCAAAAATGAACAAAAAATCTAAAAAATATTTCTTCTCAGGACTTTGATGTAGAATGGTGGCAAATCGATTTAGAAATCGTTTAAGGTACTCCGCTTGAGAATCGGATGAGAATTGTGGAAGATATAGCCATCACTGTGGGCCCTATAGGGGAAAACACCATTTTCAAGGGACCCCATCACCAAAAATTGACAAAAAATCGAAAAAATATTTCGTCTCAGGGTTTTGATGTAGAATGGTGGCAAATCGATTTAGAAATCGTTTAAGGTACTCCGCTTGAGAATCGGATGGGGGAAAACCTATAGGGGAAAACACCATTTTCACCCAAAATCCCCAAAAATGGACAAAAAATCTAAACAATATTTCTTCTCAGGACTTTGATGTAGAATGGTGGCAAATCGATTTAGAAATCGTTTAAGGTACTCCGCTTGAGAATCGGATGAGAATTGTGGAAGATATAGCCATCACTGTGGGCCCTATAGGGGAAAAACACCATTTTCAAGGGACCTCCATTTTCATCACCAAAAATTGACAAAAAATCGAAAAAATATTTCGTCTCAGGGTTTTGATGTAGAATGGTGGCAAATCGATTTAGAAATCGTTTAAGGTACTCCGCTTGAGAATCGGATGGGGGGAAACCTATAGGGGAAAACACCATTTTCACCCAAAATCCCCAAAAATGGACAAAAAATCTAAACAATATTTCTTCTTAGGACTTTGATGTAGAATGGTGGCAAATCGATTTAGAAATCGTTTAAGGTACTCCGCTTGAGAATCGGATGAGAGTTGTGGAAGATATAGGCATCACTGTGGGCCATATAGGGGAAAACCCCTGAAGAATTTTGAAGATAGAAGCTTGGGTTTTTTTCACCTTGAGTTATCTGAATCAAAAGATGAGAAAAGTAAATCAATCCAATTTAGTGATCGACACGAAGTCCTTTAGTACATCTCAACAGCTTTCTACAAATTTACTTGCATGCGCCTCTTGCCACAATACCTAACTAGCTCCCAATTTTAAAATTGGTATTATACTCATGTTTGGTAAAAATGTACATATACCTGTACTAGATGATACACTGCAAAGAGGAATAAAATTTGGTTATTGTATTTGCATATATTCTGATCTTAAATAATTTATAGTTTCAAAGGGATCGGACGTGATAGAAAAACGTGATAAAATTTATAAACTGCCTGCATTCATGAATTCAAAGAAATGCACATATGTATTGACATTTGAATATTCAAGCTGTTTGTTTCGCACCAGAAATGCAACTCCTATAAAAAGGTTTCCAAAACAAAAATTACACTTAGAAGTAAATATCCTTAACGTTGTGATAGTTCGTGTCTTTCTTAGTCTAGAAATTGAACATTTACATTGGAAAAACTACAAGGAACTCAGAATGGATTGTGATATTCGAGGATTTTATAAGGATAAGGTGGTTTTTTTGACAGGGGGCACCGGTTTTTTAGGAAAAGGTTAGTAACCAATCTTATACTTATGAATTAACTTATAAAAAAAATTGGACTGTAAATATACATACATATACTATATACTTTAGTGATTATTGAGAAACTTTTGCGGTCTTCCGATGTCAAGAAAATATATACCATGGTTAGGAGCAAACGTGGTCAGAATATTGAGGATCGCCTAAAAATATGGAAAGCGGATCCAGTAAGTGGCACCAAATGCAGACATAAAAATTGCCCCGTACGGACCAATAACCTATAACCTTGTTTTAAACTTTAGATTTTCGAAGTTCTGTTGAGGTCGCAGCACGATGCTCTGCAACGAGTTCATCCCATCGCGGGGGACTCCAGCGAGCCAGATTTGGGAATTAGTGAACAGGATAGAAGGATCCTGGCTTCAGAAGTACAGGTAGTAATCCATGGAGCAGCCACTGTGCGATTTTCAGAGCCCCTTCATGTCGCCCTGGCAATAAATACTCGTGCCACCCGGTTGATGCTCCAACTGGCCAAGGAAATGAAGAAGCTGGTTGCATATTTGCATGTTTCCACTGCCTACTCCAACAGCGTGTTGTTCCGCATCGAAGAGAAGTTTTACCCGGAGCTGTTGACCTGTGGGTCGGAGAAGGTCCTGGCTTTGAGTGAGCTGGTCAGCGACCAAGTACTGGACGGCATGGAGCCCGCTCTAAGGGGCGACTTTCCCAATACCTATACCTACACCAAAGCCTTGGCAGAAGATGTCATCCTCCAAGAAGCTGGTAGCCTACCGGTCAGCATATTTCGACCTTCCTTTAGTAAGAAACCAAATACGTATTGCTGGGTTCCGACATTTTTTGTTTTTTTTCCAGTAATTCCCACCTGCAAAGAGCCATTAGTTGGTTGGATAGACAACCTGTATGGACCAATTGGGATGATGTACGGAATCGGCTTTGGCGTTCTTCGAGTGGTGAGCTTTAACAAAAATGCACTTAATAGCATGGTGCCAGTGGACTACGCAGCCAATGTAGCACTTGCCTGCAGTTGGACAACGGCCAAGGATACGAAAAAGGTGCCCATTAATTCCGTCGATGTTCCACCTAAGATTTACGCATTTGGATCCGGCAATAACTTGTTACGAATTGAAGATTGTATTAACTATTCAATGAGCTTTCGTGAAAGAATCCCTCTGACCCAGATGATTTGGTATCCCTTCATTTTCAATGTTCCCTCACCAACACTCTACCCCCTGGTCGCCTTCTTAGTGCACATTCTGCCCGGACATATCTTTGATTTGCTCCTGCGACTTTCGGGAAAGAAGCCCCGATTGATCAAACTCTACAGAACGATTCACAAAAACATATATACAACTCGATATTTCACAAACAACACATTCCATTTTGAAATGGAAAATACGAATAGACTCAGGGACCAGATTTCATCTGAAGAAAGGATCATCTACGATTTTGACATGGAGAGTCTAAACTGGAAGGAATATTGGAGCCAGGCTACAAATGGTATGAGAGTCTACCTAGTAAAAGAACCCAATACCACGGAGTCTATAACTCAAGCTAAACGACGCCTTTGGAAGTGAGTTAGGATCACTTAAAGTGTATTTAATGCAAATATTTTTCCCTTTCTACAGATTAAAAATTGCTCACTACAGCCTAGTTGCAGTTTTTGCATTCATAGCTGGATATCTTTTATGGTTCTTGACTAAACTTTTTTTTAAATAATTTTGTTATTAACCCATAAATAGAAAGATGGTCTTGACATTTTACTGTGATTTTTATAAGAAAACATATATTAATGTAAAACTATAAAAGTAAAACAATTAAAGGTCTTTTTAAGAGGAGAATTAATAAATGGGAATAGTTATCAAAGAAATACGGGCTTTTATTGAGCCCCCTTCATGTCGCCCTGGCAATAAAAACTCTTGCCACCCGGTTGATGCTCCAACTGGCCAAGGATATAAAGAAGCTGGTTGCATATTTGCATGTTTTCACAGCCTAATCCAACAGCGTGATATTCCGCATCGAGGAGAAGGTCCTGGCTTTGAGTGAGCTGGTTAGCGATCAAGTACTGAACGGCATAGAGCCAGCTTTGAGGTGCGAATTTAGAAATACATATATGTACCTAGTAGGTACTACCTACACCAAAGCCTTGGCAGAAGATATTATTCTCAAAGAAGCTGGTACTCTCAAGAAACTATTATTCTCAAAGAAGATTTCGATCTTCCTGTAGTAACACATAAATTCTGACATAAATTTTTTCTTTCAGTTGTTCCCACCTACAAGGAGCCATTAGTTAGATGGATAGATAACCTCTATGGACCAATTGGCATGATGTTCGAAATTGCCTTAGTACATAGCTGGTTATCTCTTATGGTCCCTTAATAAACTATTTTTTTTTAATTTTTTATTTTAATCCTATTGTAAAAGATGGTTCATTCCCAAATTATTCCGATTGTGTTAATTAATCATTTGTGTTCTTAGTAATAAAGATATCCGTAATAAAGATTTTCTCGATATGAGACAATTTGAATACCCTAAAAACAGCCAGTCTTATTCCCATACCATAATTTTTCCCCCTTATTGTCCTAAGGTGGGTTACCCACGACGAGTACCATTGGGGGCTATACCAAATTTCATAATAAGTGGCTAACATTCTATTTTTTTCAATTAATTCGATCACCGAATTTTAATTAGGATCGGCCGTCTTTATTCTCTAGCTGCCATATAAAATATTTATATAAATTGAAAAATGGAGGGAAGAACAGCAGGATTTACGTCTTCTATAGCAACAGTCTGAGCTTGCATTAGTACTTTCACTGCATTCATGAGACATTGAATAAAATGCACATATTTATATCAATCTTTGAATAATTAATTGTTTAGTTCCGCAACAGAAATGACTATAAAAAGCTTTTAGAAACAAAAATGACACTTAGAAGGAACTAACTTGTACGTTGTGCTAGAACGATAAACTTAAAGACATTTGAAAACTTTTCGAAAGGAATTACTCGAAGGAAAAAAACTCGAAGGACCCAAAATGGATAGTGATATTCGTGGTTTTTATAAGGATAAAGTAATTTTCCTGACGGGTGCCACCGGTTTTTTGGGAAAAGGTGACTATAATCATTATATGTACACTAATATGTATGTACACTCTAGTGAATAATCACTAATATGTACACTCTAGTGATTATTGAGAAACTTTTGCGGTCTACCGATGTCAAGGAAATATATACCATGGTTAGGAGCAAACGTGGTCAGAATATTCAGGATCGGCTGAAAATATGGCAAGCAGATCCAGTAAGTGTTATCAGCCCGTGAAGACTTTTTAAATAACCAAATTATTTAAAACTTCAGATTTTTGAAGTTCTGTTGAGGTCGCAGCCCGATGCCCTGCAACGAGTTCATCCCATCGCAGGGGACTGCAGCCAGCCAGATTTGGGAATAAGTGAGCAGGATAGAAAGATCCTGGCTTCAGAGGTACAGGTAGTAATCCATGGAGCAGCCACTGTGCGATTTTCGGAGCCCCTTCATGTCGCTCTGGCAATAAATACTCGTGCCACCCGGTTGATGCTCCAACTGGCCAAGGAAATGAAGAAGCTGGTTGCATATTTGCATGTTTCCACAGCCTACTCCAACAGCGTGTTGTTTCGCATCGAGGAGAAGTTTTACCCGGAGCTGTTGACCTGTGGGTCGGAGAAGGTCCTGGCTTTGAGTGAGCTGGTCAGCGACCAAGTACTGGACGGCATGGAGCCCGCTCTAAGGGGCGACTTTCCCAATACCTATACCTACACCAAAGCCTTGGCAGAAGATGTCATCCTCAAAGAAGCTGGTAGTCTACCGGTCAGCATATTTCGACCTTCCTTTAGTAAGAAACCAAATACGTACTGCTGGGTTCCGACATTTATTGTTTTTTTTCCAGTAATTCCCACCTACAAAGAGCCATTAGTTGGATGGATAGATAACCTGTATGGACCAATTGGGATGATGTACGGAATCGCCTTAGGCGTTCTTCGAGTGGCGAGCTTTAACAAAAATGCACTTAATAGCATGGTGCCAGTGGACTACGCAGCCAATGTAGCACTTGCCTGCAGTTGGAGAACGGCCAAGGATACGAAAAAGGTTCCCATTAATTCCGTCGATGTTCCACCTAAGATTTACGCATTTGGATCCGGCAATAACATGTTACGAATTGAAGATTGTATTAACTATTCAATGAGCTTTCGTGAAAAAATCCCTTTGACCCAGATGATTTGGTATCCTTTCATTTTTAATGTTCCCTCTCCAACACTCTACCCCCTGGTCGCCTTCTTCATGCACGTTTTGCCTGCTCATGTCTTCGATCTGGTCCTGCGACTTTCGGGGAAAAAGCCCCGATTGATTAAGCTCTACAAAACGATTCACGAAAACATATATACAACTCGATATTTCATAAACAACACATTCCATTTTGAAATGGAAAATACGAATCGACTGATGGACAAGATTTCATCTGAAGAAAGGATCATCTACGACTTTGACATGGAGAGTCTAAACTGGAAGGGTTATTGGAGCCAGGCTTTATATGGTATGAGAGTCTACCTAGGAAAAGATCCCAATACCACGGAGTTTATAACTCAAGCTAAACGACGCCTTTGGAAGTGAGTTAAGATCACTTAAAGTGTATTTAATGCAAATATTTTTCCCTTTCTACAGATTGAAAATTGCTCACTACAGCCTAGTTGCAGTTTTTGCATTCTTAGCTGGATATCTTTTATGGTTCTTGACTAAACTTTTTTTTAATTAATTTTATTGTCAACAAATAAATAGAAAGATAATTTTGACATTTTACTGTGATTTTTATAGGAAAACATATGTTAATGTAAAACTTCAAAAGTAAAACAATTAAAGACCTTTTTAAGAGGAGAATTATAGTTTATTTATCATGGGATGACTTTGAGAGTATATCCTTTTGACTTTCTTTAATGTCAACAGAAGAACTACAAAACCTTACAACAAAAATAAATGCATAAATTAATAGGAAACATTCCATTAACACATTCACATTCCATTGTCTAAAAGCTTCCAAGCTAAAATTTTAAAATCTTTTTACATTCAAATTGACTAGTAGCTCGTTCTGAATTTAGGTTTGGCTTTAAAAATACCACATTGCATAAAACCGATATCGATACCCGAAAAGCTTTTTTGAAACTACTTTCACCTTCAGAAAACTGAATTAATTAATGGGGGTAGTGATCAAAGAAATACGGGCTTTTATTGAGCTAAAGGATATAAAGAAGCTGGTTGCATATTTGCAGGTTTCCACACATAAATTCAGACATAAATTTTTTCTTTCAGTTATTTCCACCTACAAGGAGCCATTGGTTAGATGGATAGATAACCTCTATGGACCAATTAGCATGATGTTCGAAATTGCCTTAGTACATCTCTTATGGACCCTTATTAAACTATATTTTTAATTTTATATTTTAATCCTATTGTAAAAGATGGTTGTTCTTAGTAATAAAGAAATCCGTAATTAAGATTTTCTCGATATGAAACAATTGGAATACCCTAAAACAGCCAGTCTTATTCCCATACAATAATTTTTCCCCTTTGTTGTCTCTAAGGTGAGTGAGTAGACGAGTCGAATCCCCGAATTTCATTAGGATCGGCCGTCTTTATTCTCTAGCTGCCATATAAAATATTTATATATAGTGGAAAATAAAGGGCACAATAGCAGGAGGGCACCATTAGAACTTTCACTGCATTCATGAGACATTGAATAAAATGCACATATTCATAACGATCTTTGAATAATTAATCGTTTAGTTCCGCAACAGAAATGACTATAAAAAGGTTGTAGAAACAAAAATGACACTTAGAAGGAACTAACTTGTACGTTGTGCTAGAACGATATACTTGAAGGAAATAAACCCGAAGATGGATTGTGATATTCGTGGTTTTTATAAGGATAAAGTAATTTTCCTGACGGGTGCCACCGGTTTTTTGGGAAAAGGTGACTATAATCATTATATGTACACTAATATGTATGTACACTCTAGTGAATAATCACTAATATGTACACTCTAGTGATTATTGAGAAACTGTTGCGGTCTACCGATGTCAAGGAAATATATACCATGGTTAGGAGCAAACGTGGTCAGAATATTCAGCATCGGCTGAAAATATGGCAGGCAGATCCAGTAAGTGTCATCAGCCCGTAAAGACCTTTTAAATAAACAAATTATTCAAAACTTCAGATTTTTGAAGTATTATTGCGCTCGAAGCCTGATGCACTACAACGAGTTCATCCCATCGCTGGAGATTGCAGAGAGCCAGACTTGGGAATCAGTGAGCATGATAGAAAGATCCTGGCTTCAGAGGTACAGGTAGTAATCCATGGAGCAGCCACTGTGCGATTTTCGGAGCCCCTTCATGTCGCTCTGGCAATAAATACTCGTGCCACCCGGTTGATGCTCCAACTGGCCAAGGATATGAAGAAGCTGGTTGCATATTTGCATGTTTCCACAGCCTACTCCAACAGCGTGTTGTTCCGCATCGAAGAGAAGTTTTACCCAGAGCTGTTAACCTGTGGGTCGGAGAAGGTCCTGGCTTTGAGTGAGCTGGTCAGCGACCAAGTACTGGACGGCATGGAGCCCGCTCTAAGAGGGGACTTTCCCAATACCTATACCTATACCAAAGCCTTGGCAGAAGACGTCATCCTCAAAGAAGCTGGTAGTCTCCCGGTCAGCATATTTCGACCTTCCTTTAGTAAGAAACCAACATAAATTGTTGCTGGTTGTGAATTAAATTTTTTCTTTCAGTTCTTCCCACCTACAAGGAGCCATTAGTTGGATGGATAGATAACCTCTATGGACCAATTGGCATGATGTTCGGAATCGCCTTTGGAGTCCTTCGAGTCACCAGCATAGACAGAAAGGTTTTAAGTAGCCTAGTGCCGGTGGACTACGCTGGCAATGCAGGACTCGCTAGCATTTGGCAAACTGCAAAGGATAGAAAACTAGCGAATCCCAGGAATCCCGACGATGTTCCACCTAAGATTTACGCGTTTGGATCTGGAAATAATATGTTGCGAAACGCCCATTATATTGATTATGGAATGAAGCTACTTGATGAAATCCCAATGAACAAAATGATCTGGTGTCCCATGGTGTTCAATGTTCGTTCTCCGACAATGTACTCCTTGACGGCTTTCTTTCTCCACATTCTTCCCGGCTATGTTTTCGATATAGGCCTGCGACTTTCGGGAAAAAAGCCCAGTTTGATCAAACTCTATAAAACGATTCACGAAAATATATCTTTAATGCGATATTTTACAGAAAACACTTTTTATTTTGACATGAAAAGTACCAATCAGCTCAGAAACCAAATTTCAATGGAAGAAAGGACCAAATTCGAGTTTGACATGGAGAGTCTCAACTGGAATGATTATTGGAAACAGGCTTCAAGAGGTATGAGAATGTACCTAGGAAAAGATCCCAATACCACGGAGTCTTTAACTCAAGCCAAAAGATTGCTATGGAAGTGAGTAATGATTTACATGAAACAGGTTTATTTAACAATACAATACTAATCTTTTTTTATTTCTATAGATTTAAACTTGCTAACGATATCCTGATTACAGTTCTTGCCTACATAGCTGGTTATCTCTTATGGTCCCTTATTAAACTATTTCTGTAATATTATATTTTATTCCTATTGTAAAAGATGGTTTGTTCGCAAATTATTCCGATTTTGTTAATTTATCCTTTGTGTTTTTAGTAATAAAGATTTTCTCGATACAATTTGAATACCCTAAAAACTGTCAGTCTTATTACCATACCAAAATTTTTCCACTTTTTTGTCCCTTAAGTGGGTGGGTAAACGAGTACTATTGAATGCAATAATAAAAATGAGGAGGATCTCAATATGACCAATAAGAATTTTCCTCGAGGACAGTTTGTTATCTTTCAATCTGTTGACACCGTTTTGAATCGGATTTACGTAGTAAACTATCCCACGGATTTCTTTAAGTTCTCAGTTTTTAAATTTCATAATAAGGGATGTCTTGATCCCGTGAATACGGTTGCTTCCGGGGATGGATTCTATTTTAGGACTCTGTTCTTTTTTACAAAATAATACGACATACCAAGTTTCATTCATATTCTATTCTAGAATTCTATAGAACAAATTCTATTTTTTTCCAATCGATTCGATCCCCGAATTTCATTAGGATCAGCCGTCTATATTCTCTAGCTGCCATATAAAAGATGTATATAAAGTGAAAAATGGAGGGAAGAACAGCAGGATTTACGTCTTCTATAGCAACAGTCTGAGCTTGCATTAGAACTTTCACTGCATTCATGAGACATTGAATAAAATGCACATATTTATATCGATCTTTGAATAATCAAGTGTTTAGTTCCGCAACAGAACTGCCTATAAAAAGGTCGTAGAGACAAAAATTAAACTTAGAAGGAACTAACTTGTACGTTGTGCTAGAACGATATACTTGAAGATATTTGAAAACTTTTCGAAAGGAATTACTCGAAGGAAATAAACCCGAAGGACCCAAAATGGATTGTGATATGCGTGGTTTTTATAAGGATAAAGTAATTTTCCTGACGGGTGCGACTGGTTTTTTGGGAAAATGTATACACACAATAAGTTATTTTGAAAACAATGTGACCTATACTTATTTTAGTGCTTATCGAGAAACTTTTGCGATCCACCGAAGTTAAACGAATATACTCCATGGTTAGGAGCAAACGTGGTCAGAATATTGAGGATCGACTAAAAGTGTGGAAAACTGATCCAGTAAGTGATATTGTATCGAAGTACATTAATAACGATAAAAAATTAATAACTTCAGGTTTTTGAAGTCCTGTTGCGATCGAAACCCGATGCCCTGCAACGAGTTTATCCTATAGCTGGGGACTGCTCCGAGGCTGATTTGGGAATAAGTGAGCAGGACAGAAGGATCCTGGCCTCTGAAGTGGAGGTAGTAATTCACGGCGCAGCTACTGTGAAATTTACCGAAGATCTTCATATCGCGCTAGCGATAAATACTCGTGCCACCCGGTTGATGCTCCAACTGGCCAAGGAAATGAAGAAGCTGGTTGCATATTTGCATGTTTCCACAGCCTACTCCAACAGTGTGTTACTCCGCATCGAGGAGAAGTTTTACCCGGAGCTGTTAACCTGTGGATCGGATAAGGTTCTGGCTTTGAGTGAGCTGGTTAGCGAGCAAGTTCTAGACGGCATGGAGCCAGCTTTGAGGGGCGATTTTAAAAATACCTATACCTACACCAAAGCCTTGGCAGAAGATGTAGTCCTTAAAGAAGCTGGTAGCCTACCAGTCAGCATTTATCGACCTGCCATAAGTAAGTGCTGTATTAATATTTCTGTGTTCTGAATCTGTTATTGTTTCTCTAGTAATTGCCACTTACAAGGAGCCATTAGTTGGGTGGATAGATAACCTCTATGGACCAATTGGCATGATGTATGGAGTCGCCTTTGGTGTTCTACGAATGATGTGCTGCAACAGAAAGGCGTTCAACACCATGGTGCCAGGTGACTACGCAGCCAATGCAGCACTTGCCAGCATTTGGCAGACTGCAAAAGACAAGAAAGTACTGCCCAGGAATACTGCCGATGTGCCACCTAAAATTTACGCATTTGGACCCGGCAAGAACATGTTTCTAAACGACGATCTAATACGTTTTTCATTGTCCCAACGTGAAAAAATTCCACTGACCCAGATGATCTGGTATCCCTGCGTGTTCAATGTCCCCTCACCAACACTCTACTCCCTGGTTGCCTTCTTTGTTCATGTTTTGCCCGCTCATGTCTTCGATCTGTACCTGCGACTTTCGGGGAAAAAGCCCCGATTGGTCAAGCTCTACAGCGTGATTCACGAAAACATATTTACAACTCGATATTTCACAAGCAACACTTTTCATTTTGAAATGGACAACACGAATAGACTCAGGGACCAGTTGTCGCCAGAAGAAAAGACCATCTACGAATTTGACATGGAGAGTCTGAACTGGAACGATTATTGGAGCCAGGCTCTTAGGGGTATGAGAACCTACCTAGCAAAGGAACCCAATACCCCGGAGTCTATAACTCAAGGCCAGCGACTGCTATGGAAGTGAGTAACGATCATCTAAAGTATTCATAATAAAAATATTTTCCTTTTTATTTATTTAAGGCTTAAAGTGGCTCACTACAGCCTAGTGACGGTTCTTGTGTTCTTAGCTGGATATCTTTTATGGTTCTTGATTAAGCTGTATATCTTATAAAAATGACTTGTTACCAATCCAAAGAAATGAATATGTGTAAAATAGTTTGACTTTGTTATTTAATTATTGAAAAATCCATAAAGTACCAACTGCATAAACCGAACGTACTTTAATGAATTCCTGAGGGAATTCCTAATGAGTTGTTGAATCAAATGCACATACATGTACATACTTATATGTTTTCGAATGTGACATTCAATTTTTAATTCAAACGCTTGAAGTGCATGTCCTAAGTATGTTTTCATAGGCAGTTTCTTACATTAATTGATAAGAGTTTGGGCAACCCTTGATCTAATATCTGTAATATCTGTCAGAGACACAAAATATTTCATAAAAATATTGAAATATAGAAATATTTATATTTACTCGGCAGTTATAAATATGGATGTTTCTAAGAAAGCAAATTTATTTCCGTTATATAAGTTCTTTAATGCATTCAACGTATTTTCAAGGCTACTATAGACAAGGCAATTATTAGCAGAAAACAAATTCTAATCGAGGTTCCAGAGGCATACTCTTCAAGACCCAATGAATTTGCATAAGTTTCGTATTTCAATTAAACATAGAACCGAAGCTTTTACAGTAAAACAACAAAATTTAAGCATTTAATGAAACAATATTATTAGCTAAATATCCCTTTTGTGATACTTAATTTCTGTTTAAAGCTTTTTGGGTTTAACATTCCGTTTAACACCTTTTCTTTATCGGTGTACCTACTGTACACTAAGTTAATATGGAGTATATAAATAGACGACCATTAGTTCAGTACGTGAGTTTCGCTTTGAAAACACCACAAAAACCGGATAACACGAAAATCTAGAGCATGGAAACCGAAATCCAAGGATTTTTTAGGAACAAGACCGTTTTTATAACTGGCGGCACAGGATTTTTAGGAAAAGGTTCTTTGTACAAAGTTATCATTACCATTTACCATTACCAAAAACAATAAATATTATTACTAATTTATCTTAATCATTTAGTGGTAATCGAGAAACTATTGCGAACCACAGAGGTAAAGAAAATATATTCCCTGACAAGGGAGAAACGTGGCAAGGACATCAAGGAGCGTGTTGAGATTTGGCAGAGTGATCCAGTAAGTTGCACCCGATTTAATAGAGAATTTATTTTCACACCAATGTATTCCAAAGTTTTTCAAAACTCTTCTGGATACCAAACCTTCGGCATTCGATCGAGTGCTAGCCGTTGCTGGAAACTGCTTGGCACCGGATTTGGGGCTCAGTGAAGGGGACCGAAGAATCCTTACCTCTGAAGTGCAGATCGTAATCCATGGAGCAGCCACCGTTCGATTCAATGAACCGCTGCATGTGGCGCTGGCAATCAACACTCGTGCCTCCCGGCTGATTCTCCAACTGGCTAGGGACATGAAGCAGTTAGTCGCATATTCGCACGTTTCTACAACGTTCTCAAACTGTGTCATCTTTCGGGTCAAGGAAATCTTTTATCCGGAACACCTAACCTGTGGGTCAGACAAGGTTTTGGCTATGAGCGAGTTAGTTAGCCCCCAAGTTCTGGATGGCATGGAATCGGCCCTAAAAGGCTCATTTCCGAATACCTATACTTATACAAAGGCCTTGGCAGAGGACGTAGTACTTAGGGAATCGGAAGGTCTTCCTATTAGCGTTTTTCGACCTGCTATAAGTAAGTGATTTCAGGATTTTAGTTTTTACTATATTTTGTATGATTCTTCAGTAACTGCCACTTGGAAGGACCCAGTAGCTGGGTTCATAGACAACTTGTACGGGCCAACAGCAATCGGCTTTGGTTCTGGACGCGGTGTCCTGCGACTGACCAACTTCAAAAGGAACCATCGTGGTAATATCGTTCCAGTTGACTTTTGTGCCAATTTGATATTGGCATCCTTGTGGCACACTGCTAACATGTATGCAAAGATCCCCAGAAACCCAAAGGACCACCTTCCTATATACGCTCTCGCACCCACTGAAAGAAATGATCTGTTTTCATCGGACATAGCCGAAATTGGACTAAACTATCGCGACAAATTGCCAATGACTAAAATGATTTGGTATCCATTCTGCATTAATATCCCCTCACCACGGCTCTTTTCTATTTTCGCATTCTTCTATCATACTCTTCCCGGGTACTTCTTCGACCTGGGACTAAAAATTTCCGGAAGAAAACCGAGATTGGGAAAAATTTACACAAAGCTTCATTCCGGCTTGGCCCATTTGACATATTTTTTGCAAAATGATTTTTACTTTGACATCAAGAACTCGGAGCAGCTTCTATCCCTGATGTCCCCGGAAGATCGAAGATTATACGACTTCGATATGAATAGTGTGGACTGGAGAGACTACTTTGATAAAGGCATTAAAGGCATGAGGTTTTACCTGGCAAAGGAAGAGCCGACTGAAGAGTCTATTCAGCGGGGTCGCCGCTTACTAAAAAAGTAAGTTTTTTTAGTAATTTACAAAAAATATGGTATAACCTTACGCTCCATCCAACAGGTTAAAGTTCTTGCACTACAGCTTGATGACCGTACTTTGTTGCATCTTTGGAATATTGTTGTGGCTTCTGGTTGGATTTATGGGATTTATTTGATAAGGTGTTGATTTTAACATAAATAAAAGTTGCGACCAAATAAAGTAAAGACTTTTGAAGTATAATTTTGCGCAGGAATCAACGACTAACTCGTCGCGACGACTGATTAGGCAACAAGCTTGAATTTCCAATTATTTTGCATACATTTTCTGCACTTGACGCAGTCCAGTGACCTATTGCCTCACTTTTTCGCAATAGCAACCAAATGCAAGGTACAGGGAATAAACCATAGATATATATGTTTTCGGTTCACGGCAAGTAAATATCTTTCACAGTCTCGCGTTTTATAATCAAAGTATTGATTATCGAGTCTTGACTGTCGAAAACAAATAAATAGGGGAAAAAAGCTGGAAATTCTTTTATTTCTACTTCTCCCTTCCAATCGAAAACTTCGGTGCAAGCTATAATGGAGACCGATATCCAAAGTTTTTATAGAGAAAAGGTCATTTTTATCACGGGTGCCACTGGATTTGTGGGAAAAGGTACTTTGAATGGGACAATAAATTATTAAATAATAAGCTTGAAATTTAAATTAACAATTATTTTAGTAATCATCGAGAAACTGTTGCGTAGCACAGACGTTAAACGGATCTATGTACTGATCAGGCCTAAGCGAGGTCGGGAAGTTCAGGATCGAGTATCGCTTTGGCAAAAGGATCTTGTGAGTTAATTTATAGAGGCACACTAACAGACTACTCAATGCTGGCTTCTCGAAAGGTTTTTCAACCTCTACTAGACGCTAAGCCCACGGCTTTCGACAAGGTCCGTGCCATCGCAGGCGACTGCATTGAACCGGATTTGGGGATCAGTGAAGAGGACCGTAAACTGCTCACCTCTGAGGTGCAGATCGTTATCCATGGAGCAGCCACCGTGCGGTTCAATCAAAGCCTTCATGTGGCACTGGCCATCAACACGCGAGCCACCCGATTGATGATCCAACTGGCCAAAGAGATGAGAAACCTACAGTCCTATGTCCATGTCTCCACTGCCTTTTCCAACTGCGTGGCGGATTACATTGAGGAAAGGTTCCACACGGAGCTGCTGACTCGCTCCTCAGACCAGGTCTTATCCCTTTTCGAAAAAAAGAGCAGTGATGAAATAGACGAGATGACCACTGATCTGCTGGGCCCGTTTCCAAACTCCTACACTTATACGAAGGCGCTTGGGGAGGATGTGGTCCTACGAGAAGCGGAAAATCTGCCGATCTGCATCTTTCGACCTGCCATCAGTAAGTTAGTTTTCCTCAAAATAACGCAAAATACCTCCATTTGCATTGCAAAATCGTTCTATTCTCGGGTGAAAAACCTTTGTGGAATATTCCGTGCCATGCCTACATTAGCATACCATTGGGAGTCCATTAGATACTGCAACTCCAAAGTTCTTTCAGTGCACTTATTACATAGTAATGTCAAAGGTTCTTGTTTTTACTTTTCCAGTCATTGCCAGCTTCAAAGAACCCACATCCGGATGGATCGATAATTTGTATGGACCAATCGCCATTACCTATGGCGTCGCCTATGGAGTGCTCCGCGTGGTCCTGTTGGACGTAAAGCAACAAAACAGTGTTGTGCCGGTGGACTACTGTGCCAACATGGCACTGGCCCTTGCCCGGGAAACTGCCCAGAAAAAGGCCTCCCAACAAAATCCCTCTACGCCTCCAATCTACAATTTTGCCCCGAGCGAGGGAAACCTATTGACTTATGGGGATTTCAGGGCAAAGGCCCTAAAATATGGGTCTAATTACCCCGTAACGAACATGATATGGTATCCCTTCCTGCTATGCATCAGGTGTCCGTGGCTATTTTCTCTAGCGGCATTCCTTCTCCACACTGTACCCGGCTACTTTATTGATCTGGCCCTGAAAATAAGTGGACGAAAGCCTCGTCTGGGCAAGATCTACGAGAAAATACACACGACCATAAAGGTGCTGGGCCCGTTCTCCTGCCGGAGCTGGAAATTCGAAATGGCCAATAAGGAGCGGCTGTGGCAGAGCATGTCCCGCGAAGACCAAACCATTTTCAACTTTGACATGTTGCACCTGGATTGGGATCAGTACTTTAGTAGGGCCCTGTGTGGAATGCGCCTGTACTTGGGAAAGGAGCCTCCCACAACACAATCTTACATCCAAGGCCAGAAAAGATTACGAATGTAAGTTGGCTCTCAAAAGATCAACTAGTATTTTTTTAATGACTTTTTCTTGGCAGGTTTCACGTCATTCACCGGTTAGCGCAGGCGTTGCTGATTTACTTGGCTTATTTAACGATACGGACTCTGCTCAAGTTAGTTTCGAATTTATTTTAAGTTCGAAAATCAAACGAAAAGATTGGAAACTTAAAGTCAGTGTCAGAAACAGCATCCCAACGTTAGTTTAGAATAACTTTGCAGTTAAGAAAAACATTTTAATGTACAATAATTATGTTTTGAGGGCATTCAATTGATATTAAAGGTTTTGAATTGAAGGCAAATTTATAGATGATTTTAAATTTTTTGAATTTGGCGGTAAAGATTTTTTTTCTGGCAACACCGTCCCAAAGCGCCTTGAGACAGTGCTGCCAGAGAAAAAAATATCGAATAAATACTGCTAGTGTTGGATAATGTGGAGGAAAATACCAAAAAGTGACCCTTCCTGGTAATTCCCAAAATTCCAAAGAATTCTGATCCGAGCTTCGTTTGGTAGTCGATTCGCTGAGACGAAAACTTGTTTCCCAGCAAACGCTCTACACTCACCAAAAACAACCCGACCAAAACGGTTCTAATTCAGACTGGTGTGTACTGCTCTCCCCCTCCACCTCCTGCGAGCGGAGAAAATCCATACTGTGCATAGAAAATAACTCTAAATAGGTGCCTGCCAAGGTATAATTTCTCGTATTGATTAGCCCGCGCTGACCCCGGCTTGTGAAAGAAAAGAAAAGAGCTCCCCCCTGTTTGAAAATTGCAACATTGCATAATTCTGTGTAGAGCCAAACCGCGACTTGGCTTTCCAAGAAAAAAAAAAAAGACGCCGAGGCTGCTTCCGAAAAGTTAAGATTTGAAGAAGAGGAAAAAACAATAAAAAAGAAAAAAAAATTAAAAAAAAGTGCCCCGCAGTAGCAGAGACCGCGGATTTGGAATGCGCATAATAATTAAACACAGCAAACGGGACAAAAATAATGCACAATAAGCTTCTGTTTTTGTGTGTTTGTGCTATGTGACATAACGGTATTGCCCTGGGTGGCCAATTGTGAAAAAAAAAGTAAAACGGTGACCTCAAGGCAGAAGAACTCTTCTTTTTTTTCAGGCATTTGTGAATCAATGTTTTGTATCCCAACACTTTGCATTTAACTTGCAGATCTTAATCACTAGCGAGTGACCCGCTGCAATAACAAAATACTGCCACCCCCTCGCTGCGCCGCCCAGAACAGGTGTTAGTTGCCGTTTGTCACCTGCAGTAGCCTGCTAGTCGATTGTCGTTTGCTGCTCAAAGAATGTTCGCCAAAGCAGCGCTGCTTCTGGTGCTGCTATGCGCCGCGAGCGCAGCCACCGCCGCCGCCGACCTGGCGGACAAATTGCGCGATGACTCGGAACTCTCGCAGGTGAGTCAAGCCCCGCCACTGTATATGGCCCATATATGTAGGCAGGAGAGCTTGGGGGGAATGGGGGGATGGAGAAGAAGAAGAAAACAGAAGCAGAATCGTTGGAGTCCACACACAAGCCATTCTATGGATGCCCTTGTACAGTTGGGGGCAAAAGAATAGCCTGCATGACCCATACATTGAATTTTTATTTAGTTCTCAGAGCCTGTATATAGCCATTTCTCATCAAAGAAACTATACTTGAAAGTGTTACTTTAAGATCTCTCTCACCAGTTAGTCATTTCAGATAAAGGTATGGGAACCTCCAATCCCCGAGAGAAAAGTTTAGCAAAGTTCGACAGTGTAGCGAAATCGACACTTTTGCGCTGGCCTTGAAAGGAAAAGCCTTGACAGAGCCTGCGAGTGGGTGGAGGGGACAGAGGGTACCGGAGGCCGGAAAAGGAGCCTGCGCAAGAGGGACGGATAGATGGCTCAGGGCGCCCGCATTTGGGCACAGGTAGCATCGTCCTTGACCTTTGAGCCACCATCTCTCACTTGTTGTGGGTGCTGCGAAAAATCGATGCTGGCTTGTCTCATGCTCCTCCTGGTTTTTGGCCGGGAGTGAACTCCACATTGGACGCATTTGGTATGCATGGCGGAGCCTGTTATGTAAAAATGGAAAACCACATAAATTAAAGAGAAGTCGGTGGAACCCGCAGCAGACAAACGCTGCCCGTTAACGTCCACCGAGCATAACAGTTTTATATTTAGTTTGGCTCTTTACACCTTCACACGCTGCCACACACAAGTGCCAAATATAAAAAACCTCCACACATAGAAAAGTACATTAAAAAGTAAAAAAATAAATAAAAAGTCTGAAGCCAACAAAGGTACGCGGCTGAAATAACAAGAACAACATGTGTTGTCCACACATGGGCGCGTTAAGGGGGTGATGGATCAAAGGGGTTGTCAGAACACCGTATGTTTTCCCTTTCTTAATTAATAAAAAATATAATTAATACAGCCGGGTCAGGTTAGAGAGAACCACCTTTATTTGTGTGCAATTTTGAAACTATTTGTAGAAGTACCTCCCAGCCAAAAGCCAAAAAGAAAGCGTGCGACAAACAGCCAGAAAGAGTGCCACAGTCGGTGGTAATTGCTGTAGTCTTGTTGCAAGTGTCTCTGAACCGGCGGGGTCTCAGGGAAGTTGCATAGACGATTCAGAGCGAGCCATTTGAGGAAGGAGGGGGTTTCGGGCCTGCTCATTTGCACCCTTACTCCGGGTTAGGGTATGGTGACTTGCCACGCTTTGAGGGAAAACATTTCCGGTCGCGTACTAACGCTGTTCAGGGTGGATTGATATTCTAGTCCGGGGCAGAATACAATCTTTCGTTGATTATGTAAATTTTTTCCCATAAAACATACATGTATGGCTAAAATAATATCCGATCCCCTATCAAATTCGCATAGTTTGCAATTTATTATCTCCCCCGCTAGCTAGCCCTCCATGGGTTCTCAAGTCAATGAGAATTTATTGCCTTATCTTGTAAGTCAAGTTCACGCTTAAAGAAATCCTCCCAAATTGGACAGGGATCAAGATAAAATTGTTTTCGTAGGGTATCCGCATCTTCTTAGGCCGAGTCGGCCCTCTTTTTCTCATTACAAGTATGCCTGCACTGATGGGTTAGATAAATATAGGTTGAGACCGTCTTGGTTTGCGGCTTACGGCTTGTGGTTTTGCTTGGCGGATCACCGGGAAATCGGGAGGAGAGAGATGGTTTCCAACCGATCTGATGATACCACCTCCCTGCTAATCCCTCAGAGCCTCAAAACCCAGTAATTTCCTCAAAGGTATCAAAGGCTTGGAATATTTATTTTAGAATTAATTTACATGAATGAATTTTGAGAGCATGCCGACCATGTGCGGGCCTGGGCATCGGTTGACCTGCAATCGACCCCCACTTCCTGTCGTGCGTCAACGTCTTCTTCGTTTTATTAATTTTAATTTTTAACCTTTGACTGATGCAACTGCAGCTGACTGAGTGGGGGAGGCTGACTGAACTCTGTCTAGGCTGACTTATACCCATACACTGTAAAAAAAAACCCAGTCCCCAGTAGAAAGATCATCTAACATATCATTGCTATCTGATACGAAATATAGTACATGATTGAGTTTATTATTTCTTAGAGTATCAAAGTCAGAGTCAAGAGTAGATAATAGATTTGAATATTTCTCTCAGTGCACTTGCTTAAATGCATACTCATACACTCGCAGCATCATCGAATTCAATTAAATTTAATTTAAGATTACAATGCTATATGCCAAGGCGCGTTATTTGATATGACGAGCTCCATTTCAGGCGAGGCGATGAATGAGCCACGACTGACCTTAATGGATCCACATGCTCATAGACGACGACGACGACGGATCCGTGGATCCGTGGCGTGGGCGTGAAACGGCCTCGTAGCGATGCCGGTCCCCTTTCTTCCCATTCCGGGGCCCCCCTTTTTCCTGCCAATTAAAAGAGAAATGTTTCAACGGAATCTCGAGACGGGGTTTTGATAAGACTGCTCTTGCTTTTGCTTCTGTTCTCTGCTTCTGCTGCTGCAATTATAAACAAAACAAAAATTTACCACCGACATACATACATATGCATATATAATTTGTACCAACTAAATTTATTTATACAACATGCACTCACACACTGAGGGAGATCTGAACCAACCGACCCCCTGTTCCTGCTCCTTCTCCGATTTCTGTCCCTAGACCCGAAATACGAATACCAAGCTTGGCATCTCTTGGCTAATTAGTTTTAATGGCTCCATTAGATGATGGAAATGAAATTTCCTCAAGTGCCACGCCCCCTCCATAATGTTTGTTTTTGTAGTTGTTTTGGCTTAGGCACGAGATTAGTACAATTTTTTGGCTACAAATTGAAAAAAAATTGAAAGAAACACAACACAAGTTTGAACTCTCAGCGGTTCTTCTTTCTCTTTCTTTCTTTCTCTTCCCTCTCTTTCTCCATTTCAGAGCACTGCCAAATCCTTGAGGCGTCTAATGCCAGTCAGGGTAAGCTGCAACTCCAAAACAAAACCAAAAACAACACCAAACACTGTTAAGCTATTGAAACAAAACCCAAAAGACATCCATACTCTAATATCACTCGATTCCGACTTAAGTTAGTTAACCGTAGTGTTTGCTCCGCCGTCTAGTCCTCTGACTCATGTGCCCTTGATTTTGGGGTGCGTCTCGCCAGACCAAAGGGGTCAATGGACCCCCGCGGGCACTCGTAAACTTCAAACCCCATCCTCCCGCCCGGGAGCACTTTTGGCGGTTAAGCGGAGACTGTTTGCATAGTAAATGAGACGTCCCGGGCGGAGATGGGAATCTGTTTATCGATGACAGGATAATACTCTAACAATTACAGCCGAATGGCCAAGCCTCTGGAAAAGACTCCCCTGGGAACTCCCCCTTTTCGGCTTATCGCGATGGTGTGCCAATAGAGCCGGAAACTCGTTAGGATATGGGTGGCTTTTCATCATTCATGCAAAGCATCCGATAACGAAAATTTATGAAAAGTAATTGCATCTAATTGTCAAAGGCTTCTTTGTAACTCCCAAGGGGGTGGAATTGGCAGAGGATGCTGACAGATGGGCAATGAAAAATGGCTTCCAAGTGAAAGTGTTTCAATTTTATTAAAAAAAAATAAACAGAAATGTTTTCCGATCGATATAACTTGTTTCTCTGTGTCCATACACTTTCTATTCAATTTAGTTTCCCTCGAATCTGTAGCGCTCTTTGAGGGAAACCATTGTACCTGACTGTATCGTATCCCATATCAACCTTTGACATATGCCACTTCCAGTCCCTAATACCCCACTTAGCAGCAGGGCACTGTATCCTGCCAGATAAGCGAAAACATTTCGAGAGCGTAATAGAAACCGGCCAGTTAGGGCCAGAAAACAGGAGACGGGATAAGAACAAAGCCAGGTCGACTTGAATGTCCACGAAAAGGACAACCACGCCAACCACCTCGACAACTGACGGTCTCAAGTTACCAACAAAAAAATATATATAGAGAGCACCTAAAAAAAATATATAAAACACTGGGGGAAATACTCTGAAATACATTTTTTAATTTCAATATTAGAATAAATAAGGTTTTAATTAATTAAAGTAAAAATATAGTTTGATAGAATAAAAACCATAGTATCTATGAAGTATTGTCTACTTTTTCTTGCCGTGTATTGGCGATGCCAGAGTATAGATATGTGAATCCGGCAGGGAAAATGAAATTCTAAAAAGGGAAAGGGAAAGGACCGACTTTTAAAGCCAAATTGCCATGACTCATGCTGGGCAAACGAAAACACAAACACGCAGCGAGCGTTTTAAAAGAGGGCACAGAAAAAGGTGTTGTCCTCGAAAGGACTCGTTGCACCCACACACACAAATACACAATTATACAGCTACAGGACCTCATAAAGCTGGCTGAGAATGTGCAGCGGGGCGTGGTGCACAGACGGGTGGTCGAACGGTCGGTCGGTGCTTTGCCGGGAAGCCGCAGAGTGTGCGGTTGAAGGCGGCCACATGTGGCAGAGGAATGGTGGTGCAGGTGGTGACCGGCTCAGCAACTGACTCCCGAAGCCTGGTTTAGGGTCAGTGGCTGGTCGCTATTTGGGGGTGGCTGGAAAATGCATTTTCACATACCGCTCTCGATTGAATGACACACAATCCACTCGGGCGGGGCACAGTCCCACCCCCGAGACTTATGTAATTGGTTCAATAAACCTTCCTTCTCCTCCATGCCCACGTCCAGGGCAGACGTCCCAACCAGGACATGCATAAAGTTGTTCCTCATTTTATTAGTTTGTTTGAGGTTGCTATGGAAATGGCCGGTTGCCGTTTTGCCAAAACCGCCCAGCAACCAGAGTCTAGCCACCCTGAAGTTCACCCTCCCACAAGCCGCTAGCTAGCTAAGCCACCCACTGCCCACCGCCACCCAAAATCCCCAACTCCTCACATGGTTCGACAAGATATATTGGCAATAGAGCGAAGAGAATGAGTGTAACGAACCCGTTTTTATCTTTGCAGTTCTACAGCCTGCTGGAAAGCAATCCCATCGCCAACTCGACGCTCTCGCTGCGCAGCTGCACGATCTTTGTGCCCACCAACGAAGCCTTCCAGCGCTACAAGAGCAAAACTGCCCATGTGCTCTACCACATCAGTGAGTTGACTCACCAAACTGCTGATCTGATTTAAAATAATTAAAATAATAAACAATTTTCAACTTCAAATTGCAGCAACTGCGGCGTACAGCCAGCAGAATCTGCCCAACACCATGTCATCGGACATGGCTGGCAATCCGCCACTCTACATCACAAAGAACTCCAATGGCGACATCTTTGTGAACAATGCCCGGATCATTCCCTCGCTCAGCGTAGAGACCAACAGCGGTGGAAAGCGCCAGGTCAGTGACCGCCAATCACCCACCTAGTCATCCGATTAAAATTAATTACCTCTCCCCTTTCCCCAAACAGGTCATGCACATCATTGATGAGGTGCTGGAGCCGCTAACCGCCAAGTCTGGCGACTCGGACACCATCAGCAATCCGGACGCCCTGAAGTTCCTGCAGCAGGCCGAGCAGCTCAACCTGGACAACTTCAATGTGCGCACCTACCGCAACCAAGTGACCCTGGCCAAGAAGGAGTCGGTATTCAAGTCTCCCGGAACTCACACCTTCCTTCTTCCCGTTGACGAGGGCTTCAAGGTTGGCCTTTATCCATCAATTCTTTCCTATAATGATCTAATGTTCTTTTGTAACTGCAGCTCTCGGCTCGCAGCAGCCTCGTGGATGCTAAGGTCATTGATGGCCATATGATTCCAAACACTGTCATCTTCACTGCCGCCGCTCAGCACGACGATCCTAAGACTTCCGCCGCCTTTGAGGACCTTCTCAAGGTTACCGTCAGCTTTTTCAAGCAAAAGAATGGAAAAAGTAAGATCGTTTTGCTATCGAAAGAGCTTGTTCTTCATTAGTACCTCCTTTTTATTTCAGTGTACGTCAAGTCCAACACGATTGTGGGTGATAGTAAGCACCGGGAGGGCGTCGTCCTGGCCGAGATCGTCAAGGCCAACATTCCAGTGCGCAACGGAGTCGTCCATCTAATCCACCGACCGCTGATGATCATCGATACGACGGTTACCCAATTCCTGCAGGTATGTGGGGTGTCGCAACAGCCCCATCCAATGAAGTTGTAGAAACACCAACACCCACACTGACAGACGGTCAGAACCACACCACACACACACAAATAGAAACAGTGATAGTGCCTGCGGCTTGCGAACAGGCTTGGCATTTTGATTGGCTCGGCACGCACTGAGAGTGAGAAGTAGCTGGAGGCAGCTCCGGAGATACTGTAAACAATGACATATAACCAATTAAGTCGCTTGCCAGCTGCCCCGGCGAATGCTTAAACACTAGAGCTAAAAACATATACACATTTCGAGCACCCGGCTTTACTTTGCCTGTAGCTGAGCCCCATCTTAAAAAAAGAAGTTCCTGCTAAGGAGTAGTAGTCTCCAAGGCTCCAATTTCCATGGCGCTCAACTGGGGGCAAAGCTAAACAAAACCAAAATGCACATGATATCCACATTTAGACACATACAGTAAAGATACACGATCGATCCAAGACCTAGATTTGAGAACCCCTCCTACCTACCTACCATTTATGATTAATAATTTCGAAAAACCCAAAGACTCGTTTTACCTAGAACTGAATTTTAAACCCAAATCGATACAAATTCGATGCGATTCTGATTCGGTTCTAAGTAAAATCAATAGCAAAATTTTATTTTAAAATAATTTTTAAAATATAAATTTTATTTTAAAAAAATTTTGGGTGTAATGTAAGTATTGCCAAAAATCAAAAAAACCAAAAACCAAAAAAAAATGCCTAAACGCAATGTATTTCATGTAAATTTCTCTGTGAATCAGACTTCCTTATCAAAATGCATTTCACTGGCAGTTATTGCATTAAAAACTGAATCAGTTGCGCAAAGCGATTCTAATTGGCATAAAAAATTATTAAAAATAAAAATAATAAAAAAAACGCTTTGCTCGATCTGACGGAAATGGACAAGAACTTCATACACCATATAAACCTCATTGTTTTCTATTGAATGTATTGGTAATTTAATGGCGCTCTTCGATCCCCCAATCGCCGCTCATTTCAATCAATGATCAATCATCGATCATTACAAACTCGCTCGCTGTCAGCCAGCATGTCTTAATATTAATCGTCTATATGTAGCTATATCTTCTGCGTATAATCAGCAATCTCCATCGCCAGCGCCCCATATCGTGTTTTCGTTTTCCAAATTTGTAATCTAGTTCTGTTGTAATTAATCGTATAACGCTCTTTTTGTCAATTTACTGATCCATACCTCTAATCCTTTGTTTCTCGCAACATGCCGAATAACTATTTCCAAAACAACAAACACAACCCAACCACATATCGCTCTAATATTGAACCGATGCACCGAAAAATTGACAATAAATAATAATACCAATCCGTTAACGTATTCAGTCGTTCAAGGTAAACAAAACTGTAATCTGATCCAATATTTGTATTAGTTTGAAATTTGCGTTTGAGTTGCATCTTCTTTGAAATCCATTTGCATGGCATCCTTCCCGATATAACCTTAATGTTTTGAGTATGCTTGGCCCAAGAACTACCTTTTAATGCACTTTTATTAAAATGCAGCACTAGTTTAAAGTATTTTTGATACAAAATCTTAGTATTATCGATTGGCCTACAATTTAGAAACAGAAATATTTTATTTGGACGAGTCTTTTAAGATTATTTAGAGTTAAAGTTTGGGTTTCTGTATTTTGTAATCGACAATTTGCTGAAACGTGCACGCCAGTTCAATAGCGTTAAATGATTGTGTAAATAAAGGATCAAGACTGCCTGCTAATTTCCCCAAAGCCTTTAAGAATCGAAAATAAAATATATTTCAATTGTGCTTCATTTCAAACGTTCTCCTGTGGCGGAACAACTCTGGCACACTGGTCGCGTTAACTTTAAATATATTGCCTCAACTAAATAATATTTAAATAACTTAAACCGATTTAGTTCATGAACGTAAGTAACAAAATAAACACCAACAACGAGCAGAACAAGTACAGAACCACAACAGTCATCAGTGCAACGCTTTGCTATCAAATTGCCATCCAACCCAATCACCGCACAATCGAATCACCAAATGAAATATGAAAAAAAGAGTTACATTTAGCAAAAAGCAGTAATCTACATATATAAGGTTGTCAAATATCTCCCTTCCGCCTTTTTGTCTTTTGAATTTCGCGGCTATGTACAAAGCGCTACAGAGCTCGTATCTGGCAACACTATACATAATTTAAAAGGTCTTGACATAACCTACAAAACGACGCTATGCATGATTAGTTTGGATATTGCGTTCACCAGTTATAGACGTGTAAACATGGAGTTCACTAACGCCGAAATTCGCGCTATTTTAAAGTTTTCCTTCGTTAAAGGCAAATCCGCTAGAGAAACGTTCCGTGAGATTAATGGGGTTTTGGGGGATGGTACTCTATCACTTCGAACCGCGGAGGAATGGTTTCGACGATTCAGAGCCGGTGAAAACGACACCATGGATAAGCCAGCCGGCGGAAGACCTGTGACGACAAATACCGATCAAATCATGGAATACATCGAGTTAGACCGGCATGTGGCTTCTCGTGACATCGCCCAGGAGATGGGAGTTAGTCACCAAACCATTTTAAACCATCTGCAGAAGGCTGGATACAAAAAAAGCTTGATGTTTGGGTCACGCATGATTTGACGCAAAAAAACCTTGTGGACCGAATCAACGCCTGCGATATGCTGCGGAAACGGAACGAACTCGACCCATTCTTGAAGCGGATGGTGACTGGCGACGAAAAATGGATCACATACGACAATATCAAACGAAAACGGTCGTGGTCGAAGGCCGGTGAATCGTCCCAAACAGTGGCCAAGCCGGGATTGACGGCCAGGAAGGTTTTGCTGTGTGTTTGGTGGGATTGGAAGGGAATCATCCACTATGAGCTGCTCCCATATGGCCAGACGCTTAATTCTACCATCTACTGCGAACAATTGGACCGCTTGAAGCAGGCGATCGACCAGAAGCGTCCAGAATTGGCCAACAGGAAGGGTGTAGTGTTCCACCAGGACAACGCCAGACCACACACTTCGTTGATGACTCGTCAGAAGCTACGGGAGCTCGGATGGGAGGTTTTATCGCATCCACCATATAGCCCGGACATAGCGCCAAGTGATTACCACCTGTTCCTGTCCATGACGAACGCCCTTGGTGGTGTAAAGTTGAACTCAAAAGAGGCTTGTGAAAAGTGGCTGTCCGAGTTCTTCGCAAATAAGGAGGGGGGCTTCTACGAGGGAGGTATTATGAAGTTGCCGTCTAGATGGAAACGGATTATCGAACAAAACGGCGCATATTTCAACTAAATCGGATCACTGTAACACTTTTTATAAAGCATTGAATAAAGAGCAAAAAAGCGGAAGGGAGATATTTGACAACCTTATATCATTCTCACCCTAAATTGGCTAGAGTAACCATCTCCCTTCCTATATGATTGGTTTACCCTATGATCGGATAAATCCTTAGTTGTATTGATTTTTAGTAAACGTATCGAGCGCCTAAAGAAACAACAAAAAAACACAGCTTTTGCGTATCCTTACATCCCAAGCTAAATTTTATTTTTTACTTTTAGAACATAAAACAGATAATAGTTATTGATAATTTTAATTAATATTTTCGAATTATTTTTTGAAGGAGAACTCGGAGAACGGCGCACTGCGCAAGTTCTATGAAGTAATCATGGACAATGGAGGAGCAGTCCTGGACGACATCAACAACCTATCCGAGGTCACTATTCTGGCCCCCAGCAATGAGGCTTGGAACTCATCCAAAATTAATAATCTTCTGGGGTAAGTTCTGAACCCATTTTAATACTTTACATTCCTTTAAAATGCCTTCACTTTGCAGAGATCGCAAAAAGTTGAGGCAAATCTTGAACATGCACATCATCAAGGACCGCTTGAACGTGGAGAAGATCCGGCAGAAGAATGCCAATTTGGTAAGTTCTTAAATGAAGTCATAGCTTTCTAGAAGGATACTTACCAGCTTTTTTTCGGATGGGGACAGATTGCCCAGGTACCCACAGTCAACAACAACACTTTCCTGTACTTCAACGTCCGCGGCGAGGGATCGGATGCCGTCATCACGGTCGAGGGTGGCGGTGTTAATGCCACCGTTATCCAAGCTGACGTGGCCCAGACCAACGGCTATGTCCACATCATCGATCATGTTTTGGGTGTGCCATACACCACTGTTCTCGGAAAACTGGAGTCCGATCCCATGATGAGGTAAGAATGATCGGAATATGGAAGAAGCCGAAAATTAAATACATTAATCCCAACAGTGACACCTACAAGATGGGTGAGTTCTCGCACTTCAACGACCAGCTGAACAACACGCAGCGCCTCTTCACCTACTTCGTGCCCCGCGACAAGGGCTGGCAGAAGACCGAGCTGGACTACCCATCAGCTCACAAGAAGCTGTTCATGCCCGACTTTTCCTATCATGTAAGTTTTTGGCTTCAAGTTTGTCTGATGCACGACTGACCGTTTATATATCGAAACTAGTCCAAGTCCATTCTGGAGCGGCACTTGGCCATTGCGGATCGCGTCTACACCATGAAGGATCTCGTGCAATACTCGCAGGAGAGCGGCAGCGTCATCCTGCCCACATTCCGCGACTCGCTAAAGATTCGCGTGGAGGAGGAGAATGGACGTAAGTATATGCCATCGATGTTTTAGAAATCAGCTGCTTCTCTTTTCAATTCAATTCGATTCGATTCATTTAAAATTGACTTGATTCTATTGGTCCTCACCTATCGAGCTGTATTACTAACCGTACAACATATTTTTCTACAACTTTCGAACTAAATTTCTCGCCTTGTGCCTAACAAAATCTAACCGTAACCGTACCGTTTTCCAATCGAAAGATCTACATGATGAGTATGCTAGTCACGAATGGACTGGTGAGTGCTGTCGTTTGTCAAACCCACCAATTGCACCGCCCACAAAGTTCCCGACCTGGCCATAACCATGCCCATACATAGCTCTCTCACATCGGGCGTTCCACTAGCATTAGCCACCCATCGAATATGCATAAAACTTGGTCTAAGTTAATAGAATCTTGTTCTAATATGTGTCCATTCCTATTGCAGGCTATGTGATTACCTGGAACCACAAGAAGATCAACGTCTACCGGCCAGATGTGGAGTGCACCAACGGAATCATTCATGTCATCGACTATCCGATCCTGGAGGAGAAGGACGTGGTCGTCAGCGGAGGTAGCTATCTGACAGAATCAACCATTTGCATCACCTTGGCCAACCTCATAATGATAACAGTAGCAAAGCTCTTAAACTAAACGCATCCGATATGTATAAACAAACACAATCCAAAGCAAAATGCAAATCAGACACAGAACATCAACAAAAGTACTACAGAAACAACAAAAGACAACAGTCGCCTTCTCAAGAACTCAAGAAAAACAACCAGAAAATCTCTCAAAATCAGCATTAGACTAATGTGACATCCGAAAAGGGATGCATTAATCAGCACCAGCTTGTTGATATTGATCGAAAACCATGAAATCTGTATCTGTAATATATGTGTCACAAGGAACTATCATCATTCCAACATGCCACGCCCACGCCCATGTACACCCGCCCACAAACACACACACATATTGAAGCATATACACGCATGCAGACAACTGACTGCCGGATTTGCATTAGCATAGACCACGTTTTAATTCCGAAGCTGGTCAGAGTAATTAAGATAACGACGAGGAAGAAATCCATTTATTTTTAAGATTTGACTCAATTCCCTTCAAAGGCCTTATGTATTATATGAAACATATAGAACAGAGTGTAAAAGTTTATAATTTTATGTTCAACCTATACTGGTAGAATCGTCAGCTCGCTATGTTTTAAGTTTTGACCGTCTGCCCATGTCGACGAATTGAATTGCAAGCACGGAATATCCGATTGTGTTTATGATTTTAAGTGTACATTTTTTTTATGTGAATTGCTTGTTTTAGTTAATGGTCTAATTTATGATTTATGATGTGAGTTATCTTAAGTAGATGTCGAAGCAGAAGCATTAAGCGCATCACATACTCTCATACTCGTACGCCAACGCCTACACTACACTAAACATAACATTAAAATTAAATTTAAAATTACGAGAAAATCACAACACACACACACACATAAGTACATACGAACATGTAATACGAAAATCATTTTAAGATTCGAAAAAGTGTGAAAATTTTATAATAAACTGAAAGTTTTTCATTTGAACCTAAGTATTAAGCCCGGCAGCATCCTTGTCTGCGAATCTTGAGCGAACATTGTAAGCTCAGAACTATATCAGGGTCAGACAAGATAGGGTGCGGTCGAATCGAATTGAATGGAACGCCATCCTGCACTTAGTTCTTAGCCCGCTATGCATGTAATCCCCCCAAGAAATCAAAGTATTGAACACACTTGCCTGCACACCCGCGATTTGGGGCAAGAGTTGCAACTGCAAACTAGGTTAGTCCAATGCGAAATAAGTTTCGAACTACTGCCGTCGACTACAAATACAAACTACTGCATACACACACACACGACATATATATCCTGTTATTCAAAAAATCACTCACAGGACACTACATGCATCACTGAATGGATTTTGATAAATAAATTTTAACCTGCATACAGAACAAGAACAAAGCTACAAGATGCTACCAGCAAAACGAACTAAATTTCCCCCGTTGCATTTTAAACTTTGTATGTAGAAACAAAACTTAGTTTGTAGTCCGAAACTAGAACAACCCCATTGCTAACCAAATACCAATCTCTTTCTATTTCTCTCTGTCTCTCCCCCAATCTAATGCCATGTACTTTTAGGTTAGACATTGTAACTAGCGTATCCAGCCAGATCGAGCGTTAAGTCGAGTCGAACACTGAAATGTACTATCCCTTCCCCAAAAAACAGAAACATTTAAGAAAACTATCAGCCTACCAGTACACACTATTCCAACCTCTTACCACCAACACTCACCAAGCTCAGACCCCGTTGTGGCAGTTGTCGCTTCACGTAGTCGCTAGTTCCCGGGTCCGATGATCGGACCGGGCCATTCCGGCAGTCTTTATCTTTAGTAGGTGGTTTAGTTTAGTTTCGTTTCGAAGGAGTGGATAGCAGTGCAGTGCCGTAGTTGCTAAGAGAAATGTATGAAATCTAGAAATGAATACGCTAATGAAATGTACACGTAAGCTTTAAAGAGTCGTTCCGGATCGATGAATGAATATAAATAATTATTTGTATTTAGAAGGGAACCGCAAATTGCAATCGCAATTTGTGTCGTAGTCAGTAGTTACACGTTAAGCGGCGTCTTAACGTGTAACTAGTGCCTTACTAAAGATAAACGCATTACCTTAACCTTTATACAAATTTACTCAAAATATATACTAAATGTGTATGGAAAACCAATAAAAATTGAAAACTAACGAAAGTGCAAATGGCAGAGTTCTTACATGAACCAGAGTCCAGTGCTTCGGTGGGAAAGATTTGAGAACTGCATACAACACTCCATACAATTCAGAAGCAGAATTAACTCATTGCTAAACTAAAAGCTAAACAGAGATTATATTTATATCGCGCCGTACCCAAACATACATACGTTCCGCTTTGAGAGACATTAAGAAATATAATATTACCTATAAAGGACATCGCGCCACACGCTATTTACACCAAAAAAAAGACACAAACAAATATTAAGAATCCATATTTTTCATAAATTTAATCGTCAGATAAATATAATGTAAATGTAGTTTATTTAATGTGAACTCCGAATACCAAGATACTCAAAAAATAAAAACAGATCACATATATTGATGTATGTATATTTAGCAATTGAGTTCTGAAGCAATCGTTAGACATGATAAATATATAAAGGATATATGGAATCAAGAAATAAACTATTGAAAACTGCAGTGCAAAATGATATTATTCCATTTTATTTTACGACAAGCGCTTTTTACAGATAAACCAAATTCATTTTAATTACACGTACTAGATCAGCAAGATTATAATTAGCATTAGTTAAACTAATTAATACATGTACTAGTGAACCGAATGTCAACCAAGAATCTTCTGCAAGCTTGAGTGAAAAATAAAACTTAAAAAAATGAGTAAATTCTTTGAATCAATAACGTAAAGGGTGGAGGGCTTTTATATCTCAATTTAATATTTGATCCTGCATCTGATTTGAAAGCTCAAGTTTATTGATAGAGTTGCCAGACCTATAAAAGCCTAGTGAGACCGTCAAGTTGCCTTGGAAAATACCAGCGCTGCCAGAGCTTTTTAAGGGATCCGCCCACTGTCTGACACATGGTCACTCTGACAACAAATTGAACACCAGCGAAAAATCAATTTTAGCTGCGACACAAAACTGAAAACTACAAATTCCCGAAACCTGAGACAACAAATTCTTCTGAAACGAACTCTAGAACAGTGTTTATTGGCAGTAACAAAGAAAAATTAGAATGACGGCTTCGCAGGTAGATCAGGTAAGCAGAATATGATGCCCCGGCTGCTATAATACGGCGTCGCCATTTGCGAAAAACTTTGCACCCGAGTGACTTTTTCTGTTTCCCTTGCAGAAGCGTGCTCTCAACAAGCTAAAGCACGACCTGGAACCTTTTCGGACGGCAATCGTGGGTGCTTACGGTGTGCTTACCTGGGAGAAGCAGTACTACGCCGGGGTAGTGTTTGGAGGAATCAGCGTGTTGTTCCTGGTGCTCTGGTACCTAGACCTCTCCCTGATTACTCTCCTTTCGCTGCTGGCCCTGCTGAGAATCGTGCTAGACTACGTGTTCCCGACAATTTCCCGGCTACTGTTCGGCGGCATCAACTGGGATGGCGACCAGGAGGCAAAGTTCGAGGATGTTTGCGGTCAGGTGTGCAGCCTTAAGGCGAACCTAGTTATGTGGTACGAGTACCTCTTCAAGGAGCGCAAGTCCACAGTGGTATGTGCTGGAACAAGGAGACTATGACTCAGATACCTAATACGAAATATTCTTTTAGTTTGTGATCATCATTAGCTTGGGACTCTTGGCTCTCGCCTGGGTCGGGGCCATCATCAACAATCTTTTGCTGATGTATCTGGCCACTTTGCTGATCGCCATGTGGCCCGGATTGCAGGACAAGGACGTCTTCAAAGCCATCACCCAAAAAGTCTCAACAATTATCAATGAGAAGATCCAGTGCGGAAAGCGGAAGATGCAGTAAAAAAGATCCAAGATATTCATGCCTCAAACATAAGGAAACATTTTAAACTCACCTCATTTGACCAAAAATAGAACGATACCTAAGTCATCTACTTGCCATCATGCACAGCGCATATACAAAAGAACACCATTTACTAAATTCAAATTTTGAGCATTGCATTTCAACTATGTAATATCGTATAATATAAGTGCAGCATTATAATGAAGGTATTTTCATTGAATCACTAGCAAATCCCCCTCATCCATTCTACTCCTAAGTTTTACCATGTAAAAGCAAAGAAATCTCGGGGCGATTTGTACGGAGAGAGAAAAGGAAAGCGCAACAAAAGACATTTTTGTGATTATTTTGTGAGTTAATTGAAATTTATGATAATCCCGAGTAAGATACAAAAGAACTTAAGCGTTTAATGGACTATATTTAAATAAAAGATTTCAACTGAATAGATGAAATATCCAAGTATTAACTATCTACCCCTGCCGCGTGATCGCGACCGGGATCGAGACCTGGCGTGCTTGCTCTTCTTTGTTTTCTTTTTGTGCTTGCTGGAGTGCCGGCGGCGATGGTCGTCATCTTGGCTATCCTTGCTATCTGAGCTGGAATCTCTGTCTGCCCGGCGTGATTTGCTCTTGGACTTCTTTGAGTGTTTTCTTGACTTTCTACTTGAGGACTTTTTATGCTTTTGGCGTTCATACGCGGAGTCGGAGTCGCTTTCGGTGGACTCGCCAGTGTCCTCGGCTTCGTCTGAGCTGCTTTTTGGACGTCTACTGCTTCTAGGGCTAGGAGAACGTCGTCGGTCTTCTCGCTTCGATGTGGAAGAACTACTGTTTCGGGCTAGCGTATATTTCTGACTGTCTCGTGGTTCTTCTTTTGGAGATTTTTTCTCATCTTTGTATTGTCTTTCGCTACGGTTTTCTGATTTATAGAGTTTTCGGTCCTCTTCTCTGTATGACTTTCTATCGTTATCTCTATATGGTTTACGATCTTCTTCGCGGCTAGACTTTCTATCCTCGTCCTTGTAATGTTTTCGATCTTCCTCCTTGTGCCTTCTTCGGTCCTCCTCCTTATAGGATCTACCTTCCTCTGTTTTATAACTTTTTCGATCTCGATCGGTATCTCTATAGGATTTGCTCTCCTCCTTGCGATCTCTATCCTTTCTATCTGCTGGTTTCTCATGCTTAACTATTATCTGTCCATGCTCATTCTCCTGCTTTTTGAACTCCTCATACTTTGCCGTATCTGCAATTAAAATTAGAATTATAATTACTTTATAAATAAAATATATCCAGTCGTCAACTTACTTATGCACTTGCCGTACTGTGCATATTCCTTGCGCGAAACGGGTTGACATAGGAACTCATTGAACGCTTCCTTGGCTCCACCTATAGCCATTTTCACAATTACTCTCCCAGCATGATCATCAAAGCCTTCGATTTGTCCATACTGGTCCTTCTGTTTCCCGCCCAGGATTCGAACATATGCTTGCTTCTTGATTTCTAGAACCTCATTTTTCTCTGGCTGCACCAACAATGTTTTCGGTTTCAAAGCTTTGTCGGCGCCCAGTCCCATTCCCTTGGGCCGCAAGAATGGCGCGTCGTCCACAGGCCCGGAACCTTTCTTTTTTGGCGGTGGATCCACCCAGCCCATACCCCGCAGCATGGCCAAGCCAAATTGTTGGATGGGCACGTTATCATAGTCATCGAGTGTGGCCTCTTTAGCGCCATCCAGAGGTAGTTCATCTGCCTTCAGGGCTGGTAGTACAAGCTTCTGGCCATCTAAGCCTTCGCCCGGGTTGTTTTGAGTCGCGGCAAGGAGTTCTCTAGCGGCACGTTGTTCCAGATTTTCGCCAGCGGCACCAGCCGTTACCTCAGCTATGGACTGGGCAGCGGGCGTGGTCTCCTCTGGATCCGGCTCCTCTTCGCCCAATAGAACGGCTCGTCTCTTCATTAGACTCGCCAGGGCCGAAGAAGTTTTTTGGCTACCCAGCATTTCGATTACTAGCGGTGCAGCCTCAGCCTTTTCTCTATAAAATACGGTGAGTGAATTGGTCAATGCATTGAATATGGATAATTATATATCTAATCTTACGTTACAAGCTTTATTTCCTTGCCCTCCAAACATTTTATCAGTTCCACTGTTTTCTCCTCTTTCGGCTGCTTGCTGGGCAGTATGATCGGCTTCTTAGCCACCTTGCTGAAGCCAAATGATATCTTTTTGGCGTCCATGGCTAAGCTGGAGTATTATTTCTGCAATTTATGGTGAAATGCAGAAAATGCCGCCTCAATAGTTTGTAAACAAAAATGCAACAGCTGTTTTAAACTCGTTAAGAGCTGCCAACTCGATTTTTGTCATGTTGGACAACGATTAAATAAATTCGATTGACTTTCGATAACGCAATTATTTTTAGGGACTGACTTAAATCAAGGGTTTTTACCTCAAAACCGACTTTACTAAAACAATTTATATTCTTCTGTGAACTTTGTTGGATTGTGGAGGCCCTATTGTTCAGACACCAATCAGCTGACTAGACCTGGCTATCGAATCTTCCAGAACGTGTGTCATCGGCGCCCTAACCTCACATTCTTTGAAAAGCGGCAGCGCCTGCACGAGTTTTGTTTTCCGTCAAGAAATATATTAAAGAGCACAAACCATGTTCGGTGGACAGCAGCCAATACTCGTGTTGAGTGAGTATGAAAATTCCTTGTGGCAGGACGCCAAATCAGTAAACTTTTTTGCCCGCAGGCCAAAATACGAAGCGCGAATCGGGCCGCAAAGTGCAGTTGGAGAACATTCAAGCCGGAAAGGTATGAGTGTGTGTGAGTGACTCACATGTCTGGGAGTTTAGGTTTGCTCTGCGACCATCTGCTAATTGGAAAACCTTTTTGTCTTGAAACAGGCCATCGCTGATGTGATCCGCACCTGCTTGGGGCCCCAGGCCATGTTGAAGATGCTGATGGACCCGATGGGCGGCATTGTGATGACCAACGACGGAAATGCAATCCTCCGCGAGATCACCGTGCAGCACCCGGCAGCCAAGAGCATGATCGAGATTGCTCGCACACAGGACGAAGAGGTAGGTGACGGCACCACCTCGGTCATCGTGTTGGCCGGCGAGATGCTCGCCGCTGCTGAGCCCTTCCTCCAGCAGCAGATCCACCCCACTGTGATCATTCGTGCCTACCGCGAGGCTCTCGAGGACATTGTTGGCCATCTGCAGAGCGATCTAAGCGTGCTGCTGGATGTTAAGGACAAGGCCAAAATGGCCGAGGTGGTCAAGGCCTGCGTTGGCACCAAATTCATCGGCAAGTGGTCCGATCTGGCTGTGAAAATCGCCCTCGACGCCGTGGAAACAGTGACGCTGAACGAGAATGGTCGTCTGGAGGTTGACATTAAGCGGTAAGAAGCCCACTAATGCTGTAATATGTTCCCATTTAATATTTTTTTGAAAATAGCTATGCCAAGGTTGAGAAGATTCCCGGCGGCGCTATCGAAGAGTCGACTGTGCTCAAGGGTGTGATGATTAACAAGGATGTGACCCACCCCAAGATGCGGCGCTATATTGAGAACCCGCGCATCGTGCTGCTCGACTGCTCTCTGGAGTACAAGAAGGGCGAGAGTCAGACCAACGTGGAGATCATCGGGGAGCAGGACTTCACCCGCATGCTGCAGATTGAGGAAGAGTTCGTCCAGCGCATCTGCGCGGATATCATTGCCGTTAAGCCTGACTTGGTGTTCACCGAGAAGGGAGTCTCAGATCTGGCCCAGCACTATCTGCTAAAGGCTGGCATCACCGCCATCCGTCGTCTGCGCAAAACGGACAACCTGCGCATCGCCCGCGCCTGTGGAGCTACCATTGTTAACCGCACAGAGGAGTTGACTGAGAAGGACGTCGGCACTGGAGCTGGTCTGTTCGAGATTAAGAAGATTGGTGATGATTATTTCACCTTTGTGACACAGTGCAAGGATCCTAAGGCTTGCACCATTCTGTTGCGCGGCGCCAGCAAGGACATCCTCAATGAGACGGAGCGCAACCTGCAGGACGCCCTGCATGTGGCTCGCAACCTGGTGTTGGAGCCGCGTCTGGTTCCCGGCGGCGGAGCCGTGGAGATGGCTGTCTCTCAGTTGCTGTCCCGTAAACAGGTCAAGGGACCCTACACAGCCGTAGCCCACGCCCTGGAGATTATCCCCCGTACCCTGGCCCAGAACTGCGGTGCCAACACCATTCGAGCCCTGACCGCTTTGCGTGCCAAGCATGCTTCTCATACCGGAGATGGTGTCTGCGCCTGGGGCATCGATGGTGAGTCTGGTGAGATTGTGGACATGAACGTTAAGAACATCTGGGAGCCGCTGGCCGTGAAGCTGCAGACCTACAAGACCGCCGTCGAGACAGCCATCCTGCTGCTGCGTATCGATGACATCGTCTCTGGGTCGAAGAAGCGCGGCGGTAATGAGCCAACTAACCCGGCCGCCATGGCCCAGGGCCAGGAGTAGATCCTGCCACGAACCACGTGTATTAATAATGCTTACTATCCTTTAATACTTAATTTAACAAAAACTACGAAAAAAAAGAACACAAAATCCACACACACGCCACCCTTAAATGTTTAACATTTAGTTCTGGACGAAATTCGCCCCGTCCGCCAAAACACAAAATTCTGCTGCATTTTCTCTCATTAACAGTACACAAATAAAATTGTTAAAACTCAATAATAATAATAATAATAATCAATCATAATATCATAATAATGTACGGTCTCGATCGGAATATCGGAACTGCCTCAGCATTTTAAGATTCTTCAGACAATGTACAGTCGTTCGTCCATTAGTTTGAGTACCTCCATTCCGATTGAAGTGAACTGAGGCTGCAGATAGCGGGCAAATAGTTCCAGGCAATTGGGCTCCTTTTGACCCTCATCCAGAACTATGTGCTCCCGCAACCAGTCCAACAAAGGTGGCTTATGAGAGTGAACTATGCTGGGTATGTTCATGAGGAGCTGGGTTTTTTGTAGATTCCCTCCATAATCCATTGCAGCATTAACATGACAGGCCACGTATAACATTTCGTAGGGTTGCTTCTGGGTAAGATCCGCCTGAGGCGAAGTAATCAGTTGGTGGTCAGTGTTTAGCTTGTACCATCGCAACTTGTGCACAAGCCGAAGATTCCACCTTGGGAGCAGCTGCTGCTCTAGAGCCGTCTGATGTTGACCAGAATTGGTGCACCATATGGCAACCAGTGATCGCGGATGGATGAGTTTGGATAGCGGCATAAGTGCCAGCTGGTCGGTGTCCATCATGGCATAGCCCAGCTCTTTTTTGGCTTTCTTCAACCGCCGAATATACTTGTTCCTCCATGGGGGATCCATCACAATCAGGTCGTAGGCAGGCAGAAGTTGGGGTAGAAGGGTAAGCAGCTGGTCCACATTGTGGTTGTAGAAGCAGGCTCTATCTGGGATTAGATACACGTCCTCCTGGTACTGGAACCGCTGCATCCGGCCGCTCTTGTTGGCTCCATGAAGCTGCGGCAGGGTGTAGGCACATTCCCAGCATTTGGCCAAAGGCTTGGCCTCCCCTATAGGAGGCGGCTCGGGTAAGAGGTCCAAGTACTCTACGATTTGAGGATCAGGCTGAGATAGGGAGTCCTCGTCGTTTGCTTTTCTTTTACGCTTTTTTGAGCCAAGCTCCTTATGCGATTTCTTTGTTTCAAACTGGAAAAGTTCTGGCCTGACTTGGAACTCTTTATAGGCCTCGTTTATAAGTTTTCTGTGGTCCAGATATAAAGCGTATTGGTCTGTTTCCCTTCTTAGTTTAAACATAATTCTTTTTTATTTGTTTTAGTTATTATTATTTCTTTATTGAATTCCCAAACACCCAAACCGATAAAACACACTATCTTTACATCGATAATGGAAAAAAGCAACCTTCATAAATGCGGCAAATTTAAAAATATTATCTCTCTATTCTGGTATAACCATCTCCATTATAAATATATTTATACATCAATAAAAAATAAAGAAGGATGCGATGGGAAAAACTAGTGTCGGTAGAGTCATAGATATACAAAGTCGATTCTAGACATTCCAATAATTCGCCATGCATACGTAGTACCCCATTTTCATCACAAAAAAGAAGTTCATTTTCGGAGTGTTTGGCTACAAATTTTAACATTGACCATGTATATAGGTCCACTCTGTGGTAGGGCACCGGATTGTCCCTTTGACCTCTCTTTACGAAAAACATATCCCAATCGCCTTCCACTTCGGGGAAATTTATGGGAACCCCACCTCTATCAAGATTCATTGTGTACAGTCTTACTGAATCCTTCTTCAAAAGAACACCCAAACGATAAAAAGATTCCATAAAAGGTTCAAAGCCACCGTGGTAAAAAAATATAACTACGTCCTCGTTCGATGAGTTGATAATCTCGTTCCAGCGGGTCATGTCAATATCCTCGACATTAGGATATGTTCGGACTCCATTAATCACCATCTGACAGAAGTCAAGTAGCGCATCCTTGTTGGGTTCCTCCGGTTCCCCGATCCGATCAAAGAAGTGCATTTCGCCCTGACTAGTTACTCCGTATATGAGTGGAGCTCTATCCGACGTGCATCCATCACTTCCACGTATAAAAGATGTCTGTTTTTTAAGATGGTGGACATAGTTATCCACGTAAAAGTCCATTTCTTTTCCCAAATTGTTTGGATCTGCCAGTTCATATGCCACATCCGTCCACTTTTGGAAAAGATCCATAGGACCATGGGTGTGAAACATTAGTAGTAGGGGACGTCTTTTGGTTGCAAATTCCCGCTTCATCTTTTCATCAATACGCTTGAAACGATCCTCCAATTTATCCAAATAACTACTTTTTTCCCACAAAAAATCATCGGGTATAAACCGTGCGAATTCGTAAATAAAACGTGACATTTTAGTAGACTGTGCTTATACTTGGTAGGTAACTGGTCAACTGAAAAAGTTCTTTATTATGAGTCATATTTATACTATATTTTTATCTCGACTCACAATAGTCGTAAGGAACGTCGCTCGTAGTTGTAGATTATCGATAGAATTAATGTTACCCTACGCTTTATCAATATTGGTGTGAAAGAACTCCTTCATATGGGCCAGCAACTCTGCATGGAGTCGCCGATGCCCCCTTCGATTATAATAATTAAGCTCTTTGCTGGCATTTTCGGCCACGAATCTCAGCATAGACCATTGCCCCAGCTCATACTTGCACTTTATGGGATTAGTCTTCTGGAGTCTCGGTAGGAAAAATAGAGCAGGAACGGTTTCAACGCTGAACTTTTTGGGCGCACTTCCTCCTCGCAGGTCCAATTTGTACAGACGCACTGACTCCTGCTTTAAATGGCTATCGAGGCGTTCCAGATTCTGCATCAGACTATCATTCACTGTTGTTCCGTTCTGCTGAGAGTTATAGAAGCACACAGCTATGTCCTCATCCACTGAGTAGATCATCTCGTTCCAGTCGGCCAAGTCAATTTCCGTAATAGTGGAACCACATGTTGTGGGCTCCTCGAGATCTCCTTTAATCACCCGCCGGCAGAAGTCACCTAGCGTTTCCAAGCTGGGTATCGTGGGTCCATCGAAACCTCCAAAGAAATGCACTTCACCCAAAGACGTTACTCCGTATATCAGAGGAGATGAGTCCACGGATGTGCCTTCATCGCCGCGATGAAAGCTAAAATCATCCTCGTTGAATATGTAGCAGGCCCACAAGTCGTCCACGTAGAAGTCCATCTCTGGCCCTATACTGTCGGGACCCGCCAGTCGATATGCAAGATCCATCCATTTTTCCAAAGCTCCAAAGTTATCCGCAAATAAATGGAGCATTATAAGCAGAGGCCGTTTCTGGATTTCCCATTCTTCGCGCATTTTTCCAAAGTTGGGAAGTCGCTTAAGACGGTCCTCGTATTTCGGCAAAAAGAACGTTTTAAAATTCGGTGGCGGGGGATTGTATCCACAAAAATACCGGTGCGACATGTTTTATTATTTATTTACACCTTAAGTCGACCAGCGTTGTTGAACGTTGCCTATAACATGAGCTGATTAGTCATCCGTACATGTGTATGTTTTCTGACTTAGTCACATAATCGATAGACTTTCGATAGACCGAAAAAGCTTAAACAGAAATTTAAAAAATCGTTATTTTACCGCCATAAACTACACAGCCGTGTATAAGAGAACTATTTAGACGTTTAAGGAACAAAAGCCAAAACAAAAATTGCCCGGCTTTTGGAGCAGTTTGAAAAGTGGCTTACTTTCTTGTTTCTTTGTACTTTCCATGGAGGATCTGTAAAAAAAAATTCGAAAAATTTCAAAACGATATTTAAGCAATGTTTTGAATGAGGAAAGGCGCTTCTGGGTTTGCTGATTACAAAATGGTACTTTATTTCATGATCGGATACAAATTGGCAGAGCTATGGCCATCGGAGGGAGCAAAAGTGGGGAAATGAGGAAAACCCACATTTTTGTAGGGGTACCCCTTGGAAAAAATTCGAAAAATTTCAAAACGATATGTCAGCAATGTTTTGAATGAGGAAAGGCGCTTCTGGGTTTCCTGATTACAAAATGGTACTTTATTTCGTGATCGGATACAAATTGGCAGAGCTATGGCCATCGGAGGGAGCAAAAGTGGGGAAAAAGGGAAAATGAGGAAAACCCACATTTTTGTAGGGGTACCCCTTGGAAAAAATTCGAAAAATTTCAAAACGATATTTAAGCAATGTTTTAAATGAGGAAAGACGCCTCTGTGTTTCCTGATTACAAAATGGTACTTTATTTCGTGATCGGATACAAATTGGCAGAGCTATGGCCATCGGAGGGAGCAAAAGTGGGAAAATGGGGAAAACCCACATTTTTGTAGGGGTACCCCTTGGAAAAAATTCGAAAAATTTCAAAACGATATTTAAGCAATGTTTTAAATTAGGAAAGACGCTTCTGGGTTTCCTGATTACAAAATGGTACTTTATTTCCTGATCGGATACAAATTGGCAGAGCTATGGCCATCGGAGGGAGCAAAATCGGGGAAATGAGGAAAACCCAAATTTTTGTAGGGGTACCCCTAGGAAAAAATTCGAAAAATTTAAGACGATATTAAAGCAATGTTTGGAATGAGGAGGAAAGTCGCTTTTGGGTTGGCCGATTAAAATTGAGTGGGAAAATTAGGGGAACCAACATAAATTGGTATGAGTGCTTATAGGTTAGACGACTAAGGACAAAGAGCCGCAAAAAACGGTTGCCAGGATACCAACTGACCAACAAAGTTGTTTAGTTGCCGAAAACAATAGATTCAAATCTGATTCGAACGGCAAGGTCTAAGAACGGAGCGACCATGGCAGATCAAAACGAACTTGACCAGTTGGCCAATGCGGAGCTGTTGAGGCTCCAGCGTCAGCATCGGGGACTCCAGCTGGACCTTCGTGGTCTCCTTGAGGAGAAGGCCAAGCGGTTGAAGAAGCAAAACCACATGATTAACGTTCTGCAAGTCGAGCACCAAAAACTAAAGGAGGAAATAAAGACTCTCGAGGGCGGCACTCACGCCCGCAAGAACACTAATGTACACATTATCCATAATAACTCTACAATTATAATTTAATTATTACCATTAGAAAACGTTTCTGGTCCTTGCAGAAGGAGAGGCAACTTGGCGCACTTCAGAACCAGCAGACCGACCTTCAAAGGGTGCTCCAAAATGAGAGGACCAATCTTTGGGAGCTGGAAGGCCACATCAGGAAAATGGAGAAGGAGATTGATGCACTGCGTCGCAACGAAGTGCCGGACAACTGCTACAAGGACACTATCTGTAAGGTGCAGAAAAGTGTTGTGAAGCTGGAGAACCGGCTCGATGTGGTCAATAAAAAGTGCAGCGATGTTCTAACTGAAAACAGCAAGATGCGGGACGCTATTAATCATATGCTGCAGGATCGGTGAGTAGGCCACATAACAAAAAGGTTTCATAAAATCTCTATCACGGCTATTGATAGGGCAAACTTCAACGATATGTGGCAGTCGATGGTAGGGCAGTTCAACGAGGGAAAAAAGTTCATAATGGACCTGATCGACCAGTCGACGTTGGCCTTTGACCAACGGGAGGAACTCTGCAACAAGCTGTCTGTGCTGAAGGATCGCAACGAGAACGACAAGGTGATGCACATCCAGGAGATGCGCGAGATGCAACGCCGCTTGGAACACGACTCCAAGCTCCAAAAGTTCTTCGATATAAAGGGCCAGAAGCGGCTTAACCCGGAGTTGGAGCAGCGTGAGCTGGACAAAAAGCAGAGTCAAAAGGAGACCTATGAGCGACAGCTCACCGAATACAAGGACATTATTGAAAAGATTAAAATACTTTACGGCGAGGAGGATGCCGAGCGCCTGGTGGCACAGTTTAAACGCCAAGAGGACGAGAACTTTGCGCTTTTCAACTATGTAAACGAGCTGAGTCACGAAGTGGAGGTCCTTAACGATTCCACGCAGGAGTTGACCGACGAAATTGGTGAGCTTTGGCAAAGGAAGGGGTTTTTTGAGGATCAGGCGATATACATTTTATCTCCACAGAACGCCAGAAGTCGGAACAGACTGAAAAGGAACTTAAGCTTAAAACTGAGGCTCTGGACTATTTGAACGCCGAACGAGATCGGATCGAGCAGTTGGCTGAGGAAACTCGCGAAAGGAAGCGCACCTTAAGCATCCGATTGGAGCAACTGCTGAAGGGCATTGAGGATATATTCAGGTGAGATTCATTTTAAACTCTATACTATTTGATACTTTAATAAATATTTGCAGACAACTGGCATGCGATGATGCGCCCATCCTGAATGTGTTGAGCACCAAAACATTCCTAACCGTCCACAACGTGAAGCTCTTTATTGGAGTTATTGAAAGACGCGTTAATCTGATCATTAGTGCCATTAACATTGAGGATAACTCCAACAAAATATTGGCCAGAAAGGATCGGGTTCCAAAGTTTAACATACGCGAGTCTGCTAAAACGAAAAACTAATCAAACTTGATCATATGATCATCCTAGAAGATGAGTAATCTTGGAATAAAACCTATCAAAATATTTCGAAAAGATGGAGTACTTCTTTCCCAAATACTCCTATGTTTTGGGACTACTTTTATTTAAATCTTAAGATAAATTCGTATTGGCACGTCCTAAATTTGTATTCGTAGGTAAATCACAAGACAGCTCTTAAGTCGGGCCTCAGGCTCTGGTCCTGCTTTTATCCATCGCCAGCAGGATCATGTCCTCGAAGTGCTGGATATTGGTCATCACGGTGAGGCTGTGGGCACACTGATCCGCATTGGGTGCATTGCTGATCACTCCGCGGATGTGATGCCGATAGGCGTTCCTTGCAAAGTAGTCAGTCTTCACCTTCGCCGTGAATCCGCCGCCACTGTCACCCTGGCAGGCCAGGGACTTTCCGTGTGTGAAGATGCAGAACTTGTCCGCCTGGATGTCCTGCAGGGCCTCTTTGCACTTCGAGTTGGCCTCGGACGTCGCCGTCACGAATTGCAACTTGTGATCGTCCTCGATGCTCCAGCCGGCAAATCGCCCGGGAACATGGTTGTTGATACTCTCCTTTTCCGCAAAGTTTTCAAAATTTACGCAAATGGGACGGATGAGGTCGGAGAACTCGAATGGCGTTTCTAGGCTGAGGAGAGCCAAGTCCTTGAAATAGTTCGCCGCCCGGCCATTGTAGTCCCTGTTGGAATTGCTTTATGGTTGAATCCATTCATAGGACTTCTTAAACGATGTACTCACCTAGCAATTTCGATGACTTTCACATCTCTGCGCACGTCGGTGCTTATTTGATTGTAGTTGCGATAGAACTTGGCAGCCACTATTTTGAAAGTGTCCGTACTGTAGGCGTTACGCGTACCCTCATCATAGACACAGTGGGCCGCCGTTATGACCAGATCCGGAGTGAGCAACGACCCACCGCACTGGAAGTGGTAATCCTTTTCGTTGTGCCACACATACAAGCCCACATGCCACGGCACCACCGTATTGTTGACCGTGACGCCGTTGAAGACGAACGGTTTAATGGGCGTGGCTATTTCGCCGCAATCCTGGATGCAGGGTGTCCGTCCGCCGCTCCACCGCCCGCCCTTCTCGCATCGCATGGTGTTCGGGAAGTGGGGCCTATTGAACCCGATTTTGCAAGTGAAGGTGACCTCCGTGCCGGGTTTGTGAAACTGTTTGCCACAATCCACCAACTGCCCGCCAAGGGTACATCTGGGCGTCGTGGAGTATCCGAATAGTTCGTTATTCTTGTTGCTGCAATATTCTATTGAAGTACGAAATTAATAAAACTTGTATTTGGGGAAGCAACGACCCATACTCACTCACACATCTTGGGACCTCGTTACTCCAAGATTTTACGGAACAATACCCGGTTTCATCTCCTTCGAGGACATAGCCCGTTTGACAGGAGAAAGTCACGAATCCGCGGGGTACGGGATCCGTGAGAATCCGATTTTGTTTGTCCTTGGTAATTGGTCGTTCATCACCCGCCGGCAAGGTGCAGCCTGGTTTCGTAGATGGACCTACAACCGTTGTCACCGTGGCAGGCCTGGATGGTTGGGTGGTGGTGTTGCACAACCTTGGAGCTTCGTCGGATCCGTCAAAGCAATCGTTTTCACCGTTGCAGATAAGTTTACTTGATATGCAGCTCCCAGTGCCGCACTTGAACGAATACCCGGGACACTCCATGTGGCCACACAGATCCACGGATTCGTCAAAGCCAGTGCCATCGCCGCAGTCATCCTTCCCATCGCACAGAACACTTTTGTCAATGCAAATTCCGGAAGGACACTTGATCTCGTTTTCCCTAAAATTAATGTTATGTTAACTTAAGTGGTTTTAGTGGAATTACCCCGCTGATGATACTCACTGGCAATTACCTTGGAGCAAGCGATAGTATTGACGCAGGTCGTCCGCGCTATCGCAGCGCATCCGGGTCTCATCCGAGTTGTCGGCACACTCCTGGATCCCATTGCAGGGCGCCGTTCCAATGACACAGGCTCCGTAGGTGCACTGGAAGTACGGCTTGGTGCAGTAATGCGCCTGGGAAATGCACAAATTTGCGGTTTCGTCGGATCCATCCGGACAGTTTTTCACGCCATTGCAGCGCTGATACAGGGGGATACAGCTCCCATTGTCGCACTCAACCTCAAGGACTCCGCATTCGGCCAGTGCTGTATTTAATAAACGAGGCTCTATTATTCAAATCAAAAATAAACAAATCAAAGCCACAAGACTCTATTTATGATTCACTAATCGGGTTTCCGAGAAACCTCCCTTTTGATAAGTCGCAGTCCAAGTCAGCTGTTGAATTCTACCGGCAACTATGTATATCACCTTTAAATCAGTTCCGTAAACACCAGCTCGGATCAGGTTCTCATTTAATTCTCGGATTCTCCCCTGGAGATTCTCCCTGAGAGGGAATGCATTGCGCGGTTTCAAGATGAACCGGCTGAAATCTCGTTTTGAGGTTCTCGCGAAGCGCAGTATCTATAGTATATAGCATACACACTACATACTTTCTTGGCCCATGTATAGTACATGTTTATTTTCAGCCGACTTTATTATCATTTTGAACTTTACTCACTTCTTGATAGCCTCGTGGAGAAGACGCTTAGGAGGAATAGATTTGATACAAACACTTTCAGTTTCATTGTATTCACACTTGTGGTGCACACCCGAAATATTAGAAAACAATCGCATAAATATGCATTAAATAAATGCGTACTGAAAACAACCGATCAGATGACGATGCTCCGAGTTAGAACCAGTCCGGCCGAGCTCACCAAGTGAACTGACAAATGTTGATGAGTTTTTAAGCTGGATCTTATAATAACAATCTCAAAACACGTTTTAAAAGAGACCGGGTCTCTGCCGGGAAGGAAGTATGGAAGTATTCTTCTTCCATACAGTGGAAGATTTTGTGAAAAATCTATTCAAAATAAATCATATTTTTTAGATATTTTTCAAGTCTGTAAAATAAATGAAGGTTTTCCTTTTAACAATCTGATATTTATTAGAAAAGTTAAAGTATTCACAGGAGTAATATTTTTCTTAGGAAAACCGATTCCCTTTAGAGATATTTCCACTCAAGACATAGAAAGAATCCAACAGATTTAAAAATGTGACGAAACAATGATGACAAGCCTTATAATAATAAAAGACCATTAGTCTTAAGCCCAAATGTAAAAATAAATCTTTAAAGAACTTCAAAAATGCCCGCCTTTTCAGCTGTAAACGTTGTGCAACACAATTTTACTCTTTTGACATTTTACACGTGTCAAGTAAAATGTAGATTCAAATGTAATGTAATGTTAAAAATTTAACAGAGGAAACGTTCTGTTAACAGAACTTGAGCGGGAAAATTTGAATTGACCAAAAAATACCAGTCGAAATACCAGCAAAAAAAAAACAATTTAAAAATCAAAATGAAGAACTAAAATAATTGGGAAACCTAAAATGAAAATCATTAAATCAAAATCAAATTTATTAATTTAAATGTAAAAAAATTAATTAAGTATGTCAGGTATAATTTTTTTCGCTTCGAAGTAACTTTGTAATATTCTGAAATCTTTTTCCATTTTCCACCACAATTGAAAAGCAAAGACATTTTTTAAATTGTTTAAATCATTTTGTTTAATTTATTTGTTTCATTTTCCACATTCTCACTGGTTGCTGTTTGTTTTTTTGTGTTTGTTCTTTTACGTATAGTTTATATTGATAATTTACAACTTACGGAGCTAACATAGAATGGCTTTAAATTAGAGTTACAAAGATTAAGTATTAACGGAGCTTGCGGGGATCCTAAAAGGCGGTCGATCGATCGCTCTTTGGGATGGGGCCAGGAGGAGGGGGAAAAGTTAATACGAGTAGAAAATGTAGCTGCAAAGTATCTGTAGGTCTGATGGAAATTACGTATTTAGGAAAAATAGTATTCTCGATCGCGATTAGCTGCCAGCTGATAGCCGATCGGGTCGGAAAGTAAAAGCCACTAGCAATGGTATTACGTAGGTAAGTAGTAGGTAAGTGGTAGGATGTAGTACTATATGCAAGACGTCCTCCGATTCTGCTCGCGATTTACTGTCTCTATTTACGTATATCTGTTGCTACGATAATCCACATTTAAATTTTTAAGTATTGTATTTTAGCGTCTATTCTTGGTTTGCGGTGGCGGGGAATACCCCTCTCGATCCACTCGACTCCTTCTGCCTCGTCCTTAATTTTCTCATAGATTTCGATTTTCGTTTTTTGTTTCAGTGTATGTATACAGTAACGTATTCCGATGGCATCTGCGATAGCATCTGCACTTGCGTTTAAAATCTATAACATTTAACTTATTCTTATTTACGTATTTGCATCTGTCTCCGTTTCGCAGATATTACTCCTTATTGTTTCTCCGTTTTTACGCGATTTCCATATATAAATACATAAATATATATCAAGATTTATAAATATGTATATCTATATTCGAATCTTAGGCTCTAGTTACGTATACATCTTGTGCAGGGCATCGTGTCGGATGGCCCCCTAACTGGGCTAAGTTCGGAAACTCAACTGAAGGATGAAGTGATGGCGCAGGAGGCGGGTCCTGCGACCAGGTGCGAGCACAGCTCGTTGGATCCACATCCACTAAACTATATATTGGTATCGTTATATTTATCGGTATGGGTATGCGTAAGTATCCTCTCTAGAGCGTACAACTTACGATCATTTAACGGAACGAGATCAAAAGCAATTTCGCATGCATTCTCTCTAAAAACAAACTCGCAAACAACTCATGACGCTAATTTACAATGGCAGAATAAAATAATAACACAAATAAATGAATTCGTCAACTTTTGTTTTTTTTTTTTTGTTTTTTTTAGATTTTTTTAAAACCAATAATTTATTTGCGTTTGCCGGAGCAAACGATTTGTCGTCCATCTTTTCGCATCGCTTCTGTCAGATAATCTCATAAACGCTTTGTCATTAAACTAAACATAATAATAATAATAAAATTAATCATTAATTTAATTTAAAATGTAAACACACTACACATTACTTAAAGAAACAGCTTCACTTTAGTCGTTTGGGCGAGAACTAAACAAATTCGTTTAAAAATAAACAGAGTTAACTAAAATTGCATTATGTTATTTTATAAGCAAAAACTATACACATTCAAATATTCGATCCTCCCATAGTTTACTCATCATTTTCGTAATATGTTTACTTTGCTAACAAATTCTATTTATATTAAAGTTAAAGTTTCATAATTTTTTCATCGTGTTTTCTTTACGTATCTTAAATTGGTTTAAAACTGTTTGTTTTTTTTTAATTCAAAAATTCATATCAACAGAATTTTGCTTGCGTTTAACATTTGTTTTTATCATATATCATTTAGTTTTTGAGTATTTTGCGAAATTGTAAAATTAATTAAAATTTTAAACATAGCAGTAAGCAACAAAGGGGCAGGACAGAGGGTTCGATTTCGAGTCAACTCTCTACTATTTTTTTCTTTTTTATTTCTTTAACATAAATCTTACGCTTGCGAATTTTTCCATTTCTTTGCTTGAAACTAAATTAGATTTTTGTATGTGTTTTTTTTTTCATTGTTTACATCTATTTAGTTTATATTCTGCGCACTTTCCACTACTTTCATTTACTTAGCCTAGTTAATTAGTTTGTATTTTCATTTTCATTACGTATTTTCGGTTGCTTCTCAAACGCTTGAAATAATTCCATTAGGTTCGATTTAGGTTAAGATTCGTATGTCGTATTCGCACAAGTACCATCAAAATATTTAAATATTATTCATTTAAGTAAATAGTTCATTTGTTACAATATAGTGCTTTGCTGCTTTGTATTCCGTTCAGAATTTCGTCTAAATTCCCGCCTAATTGCCGTCTAAATGGCCGCCCTGGACCGCCGCCGCCGCAGCCGCTGCCGCCGCCGCCTTCTGGGCCTGCGCCTGCTTCTCCTGCTCGTTCAGCTCCTTGATCGCCTGGATCTCCTTCTTCAACTTCATCCGCCGGTTCTGGAACCAGATCTTGATCTGCCGCTCCGTCAGGCAGAGCGCGTGCGCCATCTCGATTCTCCGTCTGCGGGTCAGATAGTGATTCGTGTGGAACTCCTTCTCCAGCTCGAGGGTCTGGTAGCGGGTGTACGTCTGTCGGCCGCGTCTTCGCAGACCATTTGTACCTGAGAAATATTTAAAAAAAAATGTATAATTTAATAAGGGGCTTTCTTTGATAAATTTTTCAATAAAATAAAAACCAAATATCCAACATTGACAAAGTAGTAGATGCAAGTCAAAAGCGTTCCCCACTTAATAATATTTATATTGAGGCTTTCATCTAGAAAATTAAATTGAAAAATGGCAACAAGACACTCGGACGGCATTTGTTTGCTCTGTTGCGGTCTTGTTTTGGCCAAAGTCGTAAATATAAATTCTCATTTTTTGTTGCGGCGATCATCAAGCAGCTTGAACGTAGGCAGGAACATTCGTCCATGCTCTGGAATTGCAGCAAAGTCAAGGAAAGGAAAGGAAATCTCAAGCAAAAAAATACATTTCATTTTTACGAGTATCGGCCATTTGCGGTTTTTTGTTTCTGCGGCTTCGAGATCGTTACTTTAAATTGATCGTTTGCCGCCGTTGCACCGGCAATGTTGCTGCTGTCATTGCAACCAGCAACCAGCAACGTGCAACCAGCAACGAGCAACCGACAACCAGCAACAAGCAAGCAGCAACTGCAACATTAAAATGAAATGGAGAAACGTGCGAGTATTCGGCTTGAGTATGGGAGATTGGAAGAGTTGCTACTTAAATTGCAGTTATGCCAGATAATGCCCGTTTAATTGGCAACCTGAGAGTCACAGACAGGGCAGCACAATGCCGTGTTTAATCTCTGATTTTAAATATTTATGAAGTTTAATTTGCCTTCAAGTGCAATAACTCAATTTCGTGTGTGCAAATGCAATCGGCCTGGCTCTTTCGCTCCATATGCCTGGGCCACGTCGAAGAAGCATCAGCATCACAACCAGACGATGCCCTGATATTATCAGAGTCCACACAGCCACATATCCACAACCATGTTAACTTTCGCATTTTGGCCAACGAGTCTTTCTCTCTGGCCTGGACCTGGGCCTGAATCTGAACCTGAAGCTGGCCCTGGTACTGGGCCTGGGCAAAATGTTAAGTTAAATATTATGAGCATTTATTATGTTATAAATTTGGCCTAAAGGTATTAACAAATTTATGCCGACACGAAAGTCATAAAGTGAAAACGCATTTATCTTTCACTCGCACAGACTCACACACACATCGCATGAATTTGCAATTGTGTGGGCGGTGTGTGTGTCTGTGTGTTAAATAAATGGCGAAAAAATTTTATAGACAATAAAAACGATACGGATATAATATGGCCAGGACGAAACAAAGAAATTATCATCTAGTATATCTGCAGATACATACATACGCGTGTATAATGAGGGGCTTATTTTTAAAATGCATTCCCAAAATTATAGAACAGCAATTTAATGTGCGAGAAAATTGGCCACTGACAGTTGACGACATAAAATTTGTCGTCATAATGGCTTTTTTGGCCAACAGTATTTATTTAATTTGTTTTTGAGAATTTTTAATAAACAGCGATGATTGCACCATGAATTCCAAGTACCATTATTTTTATTCCTTCTCTGAGTCCAACTCGCCCCGAATAAAGCATAAATAAATTCATTTTGGCCTTAAACCTGTTTGCTGATTAACTTAAATCCCTGGAAATACATCACGCTGAGATTTGGCCAAAGTTCCATTTTATTTAGGAGTTGCCAGCCAGGGGCGGGCAAGTCTCCTTGCGCCTTGAGGAGTACACGAGCTTTTCTTGGCAATTTTAAATGGAATTTGTCACTCGGCGGCCGACTATTTTTCCTTCCATGCTCGCTCGCCATCCCAAATCCCTCAGAATCCCTTTCACCCTCCACCCCTAAGCGTTGTATATGCAAAAATAAACTTTTTACAAAACTTTGGCATGATTTTTTTTTTTGCTTCTGCCAGCCCGTTTAGATTTTTTTCCAGTGCTGGCCAAGTTTCAAAATTTATTATGCGAAAAAGTGCGAAATTCATTTTGCTGGCTCGCTCCTCCTCGGGCTTCGGGCCTTCTTCTTCATCTGCGTCCTGCTGTGCTCTGCTCTGCTCTGCTGTGCCATTTTCTTTTGTAGACTTTTGGAAAATTTTTGTGTATTTCTAAGTACATAATTTAAATGCTGGTATGTACTATACAGGGGGGCGGGAGGTAGCAGGCGGGTGGACGGGCGTTCACAATAAAACTTTGTATGGCAAGGCGCGAAATTCGTAGATAATTTAAACGAACCCAAAGCCTGGAAGGGAGGAAATGAGGATGGATGGTGGTGGAGTACTGCTCGGGCAGTGGAGGAAATCTTTTTTCCGAATATTTATTCTGTTCCAGTTGGTTTTCCATGGAGCCTTCCATGGAGTCTTTCCTGAAGACACATTTTCAAGGTTTTGTCCTCCCCGTCTCCGGGGTTTTTTTTTTTTTTGGGGAAAAGTCGGCAGCGCAGCTGTGCCCCGAAGTCCCCACCAGTACGTGTTATATTTTTTAACTTAAATTCCTCAGGGATTTAAAGTTTTGACAGTTTACGTGTTTCCCATTTGCAGCGAACTTTGAACCGAAACGGAGCGATATACCTATACGTATTATTGCCCTCCCTTTTCCATGTGCGCCTAGCTATAGCTTCGTCTCTTTCCGCCTCGCGGGACTCTGACTCACCCCGAGGCGGGAGCGTTGCAAGCGGCAATAAATCTCCAGGTGACGCCGACTCCATGTTGCATGCGGCACAACGTGTGATCTATGCTTCTATTATAACTATTTATATACACCAACTCACAGATACATTTTCGGATTGCGAGAGTGTGTGTGTGCGACAACTACTTATATTTAATTCGATTTTGTTTTTCGGCTAGCTCCCTCCCCCCTCTTAGAACAGCCCCCTATCCCCCTCATCGGGGGCATCTTACTCTTTCTAATTTATGTTTTGTTTTTGTCATCGTCACGTGCTATCTAGATGGGATTCCAGGGAGCATTGGCATGGGGGGAGCCGCCATACTCCACCTGGAATTTCTGAGATGCTAGGGTCCTCTCTATTTCCCGGTATCTGTAAGATACAATATTTAGATGTGGCTCGATTACCAGGAACCGAAGTTGGGGCATAGAATGAAGTAAAACTTTCGGCTGCTTGATTTGCGGACATCATTTATAACCGGAAATTAATTCCCTTCTGTTTTTTTCCCAGAAACCCAGAAAGGACATGGCCACAGGAACCCTTTTTGGGCAAAAGCTGAAGAGAAATCGATTGGCCATCGATTAATTGGATACGGCACACACATGTGTGTCTCTGTGTGTCCACCCCGGGCTCTCTCCCAAAACTCACGCATTTTATTCGCAATTTAATTAAATCTATTTTCGTGCGTGTTTGTCAGGGGCGTGTTTCACCTTCCCGGCGATGATGTACGCACACACACCCACTCGCACACCCCCATCCACTTGTCTATATACGAATGTACATAGGTATAGAGTAGGTACATGGCCTACGGATTCCGGATTCCGGATTCGAGTGTCTATAAAACAATTAAAGGCGACTTGGCACAAGAAAGCCACAGAAAGTCAGCCTCGGCTCCGGGAGACAGAAAACTAATTTTCCGCACTGCCAATCGGGCAACACTAAATCTGTCAATTAAATTGGCCGCAGGGAGTCATGGGAACTGTCATGGGAGGAGTTTCGGCTTCAGCTTCCGAGGGGGCCGGGGCTCTGCTTCCTTAGATCTCTGCCCAGACGTGATTATGGCCCCTATGCCTATGCCTGTGCCTGTGCCCAGATATTGATGCTTGCGGTGGCAAATGCGCAATTGAGTTGCAATTGCCAACACGAACACGAACGCAATCTTAGAGATACTCATGTAGACACACACACATATGTATAGTCGTAGTATCCTGCAACCTGCAACTGCAGCTGCTGTGGTTATCAAATTTTGAGATACACGTTTAGGGTGTGCACCCCCAACTTGGGCAGTATCTTATGTCTGTCGCAGCCAGGAAGTGAATTTTCAATTTTTCTCAGGCACCACCTAGGCAATCAGTTTCTAATTGCTTTTCCGAGCCTGGGAAATGGTAACTGAATCTGAATTCGGAACAGGATGGAACAATTTCAAATTGAGATCTTTTCGGGTCTGAAAATGATGTGGCAAGTGGCATTCCTTACATGAGCAATCGATTCAAATCGGATCGTGGAATTCGTGGCGCGTACAGCCTCCCAAATTGCGATGCCGCGTAATTGTGGCCAAAAAAAAAGGTGGAAAAGGGAAAAAGCACCTTTGGTGAAATTTGTGGAAGATCTTCGATAAAATCCGCTTAACGAACAGTCTTCAGCCTCACGCACAAGTCTGCTTACTTTATTATTTTTTTTTCATGTTTTCTTATTTTTGTAATTTTTTTTTTTGGTAATTTGGTGCTTGAAAGCGCAACGTTGAATGGCTGTCTGATGATCTGAGAAATGGAACGGAGGCCCCGAGAAACTGGTTTCCAGTCGGACTGGATCTGGATATGGATATGGCGGCGTTTCTTACGCATACGTAGCAGGACCATCGAAAGGGGCTCTCTCGTCATTAAAATAATTCATTGCCACGGCAAGTTGCAAGCTTCAAGATACTCGCAGTAGCTGTTCCTGTTCCTGCTGCTGCTGCTGCAACAGGTAGCTTCGATTCAGGGCCAGTGACCAGAGAGCGATCATACCACTCAGGGGTCCATGGCATGTTTTAAGTTTTGAGTTACGACTGGATCCGTTGAGCTTCCAATTTAAGTCGGGGTGTCTTGGTAAGCAAGGGGCAGGAAAAATAAAAATAAAAATTAATTCAACAACTATAGAACCTCTTTTATAATCATTTTGTGATTTAAACCACTCTGTATTATGTGTTCCGCTTCTTTGTGATGTCAAGTCTCTATCATTTCGCTTTCATTTCTAACAAATAACGAATGCTTTTTTGGCTGCCATGTCACGGCAATTAAAAGTCAATTTGTATATGAATGAATACATTCGACTGGTTATTGTCTCTATTCGGTATGTGAATTGTATAATAATGCCATCATTGGCACACCAACTCTGCCTGACTGACCCAGTGCCCCGAG